TGTATAACTCTCTTGATCAAAGAACATAAGAAAAACCTCAAAACTGCGCAAGTATTAAAAAAGGAGTTCTGTAGAAGAGTAATACAGCTCTGTCAATGCTGTGTTGATAGCATAGGAAGAATGTCTAGCACACCTCATTCATGATTAGGAAGAGGCTGAAGTATTAATATTCAAGTACTTCATAACTAGCTTGTTGCATATTGAAATATCACTGCCACAAGGAGAGTAACACTTTAATCAGCTTAAGCTGCTCTGCATTCTGGACATGCATTCTAGATGTACAGGACACTCCAAAATTTTTTCATGTGTGTTTACCAAAAGAACAGGGTAAGTGGAGTATTTTGTTGAAACTAATAGCTTTCTTTCTAACATGAAAAGGGTCATATTGAAGTGCTGGCTTTCTTCTTACATGCATTAGCTACAGAATGTGCTTGGCACTATCTGTGCTGAGATTACCGTTCTGGATGTAATTTGTTCATAGTGGTATCACATCAGGTGTCAACAGATCCAAAGTAGCTGCATTTGGCACAGGCTTTTAGATGCTTTTCACCTGGATTTCATGTTTTCAGAAGTGTTAGGTATTTGCTGTCTAAAGCTTTAAATATAGGGAAATGTTAATTAAAAGCAGTTGTCCTGCTTATCAAATTTAGATTTTGTTTCCTTACTGTGTTGTGAGATTACTGTAGCCCTCACTGGTCATTTAAGTGCTGGATCATTTTCTCAGCCACTGTAGAGCTTTTCCTTATTTCTGAGTGTGGCAAAGGGCCTTCTTGCCCAAATACACAGTCACGGTCTTAAAAAGCACCATAGGACTGTGTTATCAGATACGAGCATCACGTCCTTAACCATTTCAAACAGTACGTGCTTTTGACAAGAGCAGTGTCTTTAATGAGCAAAGTGGAACCTTAAAGAAGGATTGCTACTGAACTGTGATTGATGTTAATGCAGTGAATCCATATGGAACAGCAAAGTGAGAGATGCAATACTTTTTTGTTTGGAAGAGAGCTGTCTTCCAGTTTAACTTCCCCTTGACTGATGATACTGAAGCAGATGGCCTGATTGCCCTCTGTGTTATGCTAAGCTACTGAAACATTTAAAAAATCAGTTTCTCCTAATTTTTGTCACTATTAGGAAAAGGCTATTCAGCATCTGCATGTAGAAGCCCTTACTGGATGTTATTGCCATCACTGAAGAGTGTTGTCTCATAATTTGATAACATGATGTGCAGATAGACCTACTCTTCAGGGGCTCTTTTCTCACTGTCCTTCCCATTAATGCATTCTACATACACACTTTTTAAAGAACTGCTCTATTAGTTCCTGTCCCTCTGCCCTTCAATCATTGCCCTGGAAATAACAAGCTGAATTAATTTGATGTTACAGACTGTCTTTCAAATTCTAGATCTTTCTTCAGAATGCTGAGATGGTTGAAATGTGGGGTTTGTATGCCTCAGGGGTATCTTATCCCTGCTCCTATACACCCTATTATTCTCTTTGTAATTTCTGTTCTGCATTTGGTTAAACATATGATGAACACTTGTGTCCTGTAAGATGAAGACGTCACTAGATTTGTTTTAACCGTGGCCATTGGAAATTGAATAAGAAGTGATTTCATTCCCTTTTCTGGTTCACTGAAATCTGGTTTTAAAATGGCTTGATCCAAAGAACTGCTTTCTGTGGCTCAGTGCTGTTGTATGTAACAGAAGTGAGCTTACTGCACTCTGCAGCTTACTAGGCTTACTGTTTGCAGAGCTGTCGGAGGTATAAAGTAGAAACATCTGCAGATTTGGGGGTAAGTCATCAATTTACAAACTGCAGTACCTGGAAGTCAGACATGTTTGTTCTGTGCTGAACTTCTGTCATCAGCTTTTTACTGTCAGCCCACACAGTATTGTGTAGCAATTATTTAACAGGCATAGATGGGAAGCTCTAATATGAAGATCTTATTTTGTCTTAGCAACAGGCACTGTCTAAATCTGTCATGTTTAACTATGTAGGGCATCTTGACACTGGCCACAGCCTTTCACTTACACTGAATTTAGTAGTTAGAGTGGAACTTCCAAAATGTTGTCTGAAACTTTCCAGTCCGAGCTCTTTCAGAAGAAAAGGAATGTAGACAGGAATAGAGAGTGAATGGAATATAGAAGTAACTACAATAAAACACAACTTCCCAGCATCAGCTCATTAGTCACTCTTGGTGGTATTTAATTTGTTATTTTCTCATCTCTTGATGAGCCTGGCTCTTTGGTTTTGTTTCTTTCATGCAGCAAAGGTGTTTAAAAGTTTGGGTTTAAGTGGTGATATGCCAGGTAAACTGTCAGGAGCATCTTCTTTCTCTTGTGCAAGGGAACCCTTATCCATGCACTGTGATTATCTGTGCCAGAAGCAGGAGATGTTTGAAAACTCATGTGTGAGATCTCAAAAGCAGTTGTTCTGCTTTTTTGTTCTTCTCTTCTCCAAGCTAAACAAGCCCAGTTCCCTCAACCTTTCCTCACAGGAGAGGTGCTCCAGCCCTCTCATCATCTTAGTGCCCTCCTCTGGACCATTCCAAGAGCTCTGCGTCTTTCTTGTGCTGGGGGCCCCAGGCCTGGACGCAGTGCTGCAGATGGGGCCTTGCAAGAACCGAGCAGAGGGGGACAATCACCTCCCTCTCCTGCTGACCATCCCTCTTTTAACACAGCAGGAGATAGTTGGCCTTCCGGACTACAAGTGCACACTGCTGCCTCATGTCCAGCTTCTCATCCAGCAAGAACTGTTTCTTCAAGATTCCCAGCTTGTCTCCTATTTCTGTGCTTGATTTTTCTATCATCAGTTTTGTCTTGACATCTCTTTACTTCTGCACGTGTTTTCTTTTCTCTCCTGTGTTCCCTTTTGTCTTCAGTTTCTAAGGTTCTCTTTCCTCATTCTGGGTTCTACTACTCTATTTTCGTCTGTCTGTCATGATATCAGGACTGTTTTCTCAAGGTGGTTATGTGAAATATGGGCTTTTCTTGTCGGTATGTTAATACTAGACTACTTCAGTAGCTGCTGAGGTTAGAATTGCTTAGAACTTTCAGACACTTTTAGCCCTGATCTTCTTTCCAGTGGGTTAACTAGAACCAAGGGTTAACTGGAACCATGAATGAAGGATTGGGGTGAAGGACTTGTGGAATTATAGAAGAAAGCTTGTAGGTCTCTATAAGAAGACCTAAAAATATGTAACAAACTTTTAATCCCAGGCTTTTCTGTCACCCAGGAAAGATGCTGAAAATCCCTTCATATAGTAGAGTGGGCTTTCTATTAAGTTAAAACATATAATGAAGTATCCGAATTCTCTATGACAATGTGCCCCAACCACAAATACCCTTCAGCATCTTGTAGTGCCTGGAGATGAAAGGGAACAGTAGTAAAGCTGCAGGGATGAGTTGGAGGAAGGCTTTGGAAGCAAGTCCTTCTGATTTCTGAAAGAGCAGTAATAAGGGTAAGCAAGTCTTCAGTGCCCAGTGCAAAAGCTTTGACCAAGCCAAGATACTGCAAACCCAGAAGCACAGCTGTCACATCAGTAACCCTCAGGCTTAAGAGGCTGCAAATATGTATTTCTTTTTTTTTTTTTTTTTTTTTTTTTTTTTTTTTGTGGCAAGAGAGAGAAGTAAGATGCTTGTAATGGGCTAAATAGCCTACCAAATCTGATTACTCAAGAGATACTGGTTTAACTAAACCCACTTTTCTGAAGAGATGACAAAATGTGGTTGGGAACCTGTTTCAGCATTACTGTGTGCAGTGCCTAATGGTTCTGTTTGCTGACAACAGTTGAAACTGTCTCAACCTGATCCCAAACGTGTCAGTTGCTACTTGGAGCAGCTAAACATCTTTAGACACCCTTTCTTTAAGGGAACATCTGTGAGGGTTACATTCTTATGGATGTGCAAGAGAAACTTGAAGAACAGGACCTTGTTTGGGGACAATGGATGTGAAAGTTAGATCTGTTCCATGTTGTGGTTGGAGTGTTGTTGACTGCTGGTGGGAGTGTGCTGGTTAATTCCCTTTTTGTGAAGGACGCCTGTTGGGTGCTGCAGTCTGTTAGCTGGAGGACTTCAGAAACAGAGCAGCTCTGATCCTATGTCATACATAGCATCAAAGGAGGACTTAGATTGAGTTATTCAGGGAGTTATGCTGTGGTGTTTTAAGAAAGATCTTGTGATATATTTCTAGTACAGCAAAAGAAACAGATCTGTTATTGAATGCACCACAGGCATCCTGGAGCAGGGTTTTAGCTGACTGATCAGCAAGTATTCTGCAGCTCCTTCTAGTTAAATAAAAGCTTTTCCTTGGGATCAGACTGCTCTGTTACGTGCTGCCTGAACATTCCTTTAACATTTTAATCATGGAGTATTTGCTTTATTAACTTCTCAAAAAAAGTTGTTAATGAAATTCCGTGGGCACTGGATGAAAAATGTTACCCCTGCTTCCTTGTGCATGTTTGAAAACTTTATCTTGCTACCAGTTTCTGTGTACCAGCATTGTGTACAGTTGTGTGTTTTACCCACTGCGTCGGGACAAGCGCTGTGTTGTCTGACGGGCTCTGCATACCAAATGTCATAGCATCCCTTTTTAGAGCAACAGGGATTAAACTGAAGAGGATCAGTGTGGTATTTCCAGTAGGAAAAGCTATTCTTAATAGTCCTGCAGGGGAGGCAGGTTGTTCTTGCTCACTGGGTCTGGGAAGGAGCAACTTCTGAGTACTGTGACCTAGAGCTCTGCCTTCCTAATTAATCTGGGTGTTTCTTCTTGTCTCATTTTTTTTTTTCTTTTTTGCCACTTAGGTTATCAGACCCTAGGCTAAATTACTGTCTTAATTATTGACACTGAAAAATAAGTTTGGCTATCGGTCTTGGCAATAGGATAAACAAAGCAAGTGTCAGCGGCGTATCCTGTAATCCAGAGATAAGACTATAGAACTGCATAGGATTATGCAACACAGTATGTATAAATTTGCTAAAGCTTTTTCAAAATATTTTTCAGGTTCTAAATGGCTTCTAAGAAATTGGGATCCGACTCTCACGGTGAGTGGAATTTGTTATCTTTCAATCAGATGAATCTCAGTATTGTTGCTGACTAGAGCCTTGGCTTAGAAAGGCCACAGAGGCTAATTGTTCAGCCTCAGATGAGATTTTTGTTGTAAATGAAGTGCTTTGGCTTCCTCCTTGCATAGTTGCTTGCTGATGCTGTGCCTGTTCTCTAGTTAAACGGAAATAAAGCTGCTGATTACCCTCCATTATCCCCTCCCTCCACTCGTGGCAGACTAATACCTCCCCAAGAATCCCCTTCAGTATCAAAGGTGAACTGTAATTATGGTACTGATATGAAGATCACTGAAGCAGTCTCTAATCTGCAGCTTACTCTTATGAAAGTCAAGTGAGCAGTTGGATTGAAAGTTGAGCTTTTAATATAGCATTGTGCTTGCTTTTTTCTTAGCAGCGAATTTATTCCTAAACTGGACTTCCATAACTGCAAGCTGTTGAGTTAGATAAGTGAAGAAGAGATTTTTGTCTGTGTCTGAGATGTGTGATATCATGCAGATGTTTGGCATTATAAAGAATTACTTTCTTGTACATGTGCTACTCTTAGAAAATGAGATATAGATTTGAAAAGGCTCTTATTTTCTTAGAGACCTAAGTTCAGTTTGTTATATATAATGCAGATCCTTAAAAGAAGTAAATAAAAGCTGCTCTGGGAGGCTCAAATGAAATGTCTAACATGATTGTTGTAGAAAGAATATTTTGTGTCAGAAAAACAGCCTTGATTTTTTCAGGGTAGTCTTTCTGAAAATAGAATCCAGAGGCATTGCTCTCCCTCCTGAGCATGTTGTTCTATCTTGCAAGCATGAAATTGAGGTATGTAGTAAACTTAGATTAATTTAAATACACGTTAAGGATTAATAGAAGTAGTCTACCAAAACTTGATCTTTGGATAGCTGCCTCTGTTGTTGTGGCAATTTACTTCATTATTAGATAACTGCCAACTTCAGTTGCTGTTCTCTGGACTGCTTGTCTTTTGAATCCATCTGCTTCCTAACCCAGGCTAGAAGAGACCCTGCTCAGAGATAGAAATAAGCCTGTCTTAAATGTTTCTTAAAACAGTGCAGTTTGGTGGAACATGCCCCTGGCTTCAGAATAATAGGGTCAAAACAGGTGATGCTGTACCATGGCTAACTTGACTACCTTCCTCTGTACTCTCTGTTCCTAATGATATCCTTAACTCTGTCACAGTACTGGTTCTGAATAGTGGAACAGATTTCTTGGCTTATTTCTTGGAAAATCAGCAAGGCAATTTTTTCACTCTTTTCCATAGTTGGGAAGCATCAATCCCACTAATTGATTCACAGAATCACAGAATCACCCGGGTTGGAAGGGACCTCAAGGATCATGTAGTTCCAACCCCCCTGCCTAGCAGGGCCACCAAACACACACATTCAGATCAGGTTGCCCAGGACCCCGTCCAACCTGGCCTTAAACACATCCAAGGACGGGGCATCCACAACCTCCCTGGGCAGCCCGTTCCAGGGCCTAACCACTCTCCTTGTATAGAACTTCCCCCTAACATCCAACCTAAATCTTCCCTCCTTCAACTTGGATCCATTTCCCCTAGTCCTGCTGTTGTCAGCCCTTTTGAAGAGTTTACTCCCCTCCTGGGTGTAGGTTCCCTTCAGGTATTGATAGGCTGCAATGAGGTCACCCCGCAGCCTTCTCTTCTCCAGGCTGAACAAGCCCAGCTCCCTCAGCCTGTCCTCATAGGGGAGGTGCTCCAGCCCCCTGATCATCTTAGTCGCCCTCCTCTGGACCCTTTCCAAAATCTCAATGTCTTTCTTGTACTGAGGGCTCCACACCTGGACACAGGACTCCAGATGGGGCCTCACAAGAGCCGAGTAGAGAGGGACAATCACCTCCCTGTCCCTGCTGACCACCCCTCTCCTGATGGAGCCCAGGATCCCATTTGCCTTTCGAGCTGCCAGAGCGCTCTGCTGGCTCATGTTCAGTCTCTCGTCCATCAGGACCCCCAGGTCCTTCTCTGCCGAGCTGCTCTCAAGGACCACTCCTCCCAGCCTGTGCGGGTGCCTGGGGTTCTTCTGGCCCAAATGCAAAACCTTGCACTTTGCTGTGTTGAACCTCATTAGGTTCACCCGAGCCCAGCCCTCCAGCCTGTCGAGGTCCCTCTGAATGGCATCCCTTCCTTCCACCGTATCAACCGCACCACTCAGCTTGGTGTCGTCAGCAAACTTGCTGAGGGTGCACTCAATGATTTTTGACTTAGTGTGAAGCATCTAGTCCAGCAGCTGCATTCTGATCTCTTCATCTGCCTTCGGCTCAGGTTCTGTGACAAGCTGAAATTGGTCAGCCAAGTTGGTGGATCTCTTGTACTTATTGTTCAGCTGTGTATTGAGAGTTAGAGGCTGAATTCCAGGAGGTTAAATCACAGAATAGCTGAGCTTTGCAGGGAGCTTTGGAGATCATCTGTTCCAGACCTCTTGCTCAAGCTGGGCCACCTGGAGTGGGTTTCTCAGAACCTTGTGCAGATGGGAAGAGGCTGGAGACAACAGAACATGTTTTTTTGTTTCTCCACTTGAGGGGTGATTTGTAACTTTGTGTAAAATGTAACTCCGTGTGCTGTCTTGTCATCTGGATAACTGGAAGTTCAAGCTTATGTTCTAGCAAAAGTGGCATCCAGAAGTACAGCTCTAGTCTGATAAGCAAAAGGACAGATTACATTAAGAGCGACAAGTTAATGTTGCTGTTGCGTTGTCTCTCACTCTGTACAGTTTAAAAACTTTCCAATCCAGTTTCTGAAAATCACATGACCTTAGTTTGTGTGACCACTAAAACAAAGTTGGTTTCAAAACAGTTTCCAATTCATTACTGGTAACTGCACTTTAACTGAACTGTTCTCATTATGCTGTCACACTGCTTCTATGGATTAGCTGGCAGTTTCTGCATTACTGAAGTGGATAGAAGTCTTTCTCTCACAGCAGTAGTTCCTTGGTCCAGGAGTGTCGTATAGTGTGTGGCATCAGAGAGCAGTCAAGCAGCTACTGTTCTACTGGGGCTGTTCTCACAGAGCCCTCCCTCAGTTTGTCATAAAGCCCTTAAAGAAGATGAAGGAGCTAACATGCTTTTGAAACTACAGTTAGAAAACCTTTGATGGCTTTGCTTAAACCACTGAAATAATGGCTTGTTTACATTGTGTATGGAGGTTCTGCTTATTGTTTTGAATTTGCTGTTTGTGTCCACACACATCAGAGTGTTTAGACAGTATGGCCATCTGTTTGAAAAAAAGGATACTTTGCTTACTGCTCAGTTTTCAAGTTTGCTAGACTAGTGCTGTTCTGGCTGTGTTGGAACAAACTGAGTATTACGTGCTTCATTTCACTTCGGGAGGACTTCTAGCATTATGGACTCTTCATTGTCAAAATGTCTAGAATATTTTGTGTGTTTCTTGTTTGATATCCTTGTAGCTGAGTTGTGTTCAAGGCAACAGTATAGCAGTGTATTAGAAAACTGTCACATTAGGAAGACACTGGGAAGTTTTCTCCTTTGCCTAGCTGCTGGGGTTAAATGAACAGCTGTCAGTTCAGATATAGTCTGTGTTTCTAGTTTTCTTTCTGTGCTAAAACAAACGAAGTTGCTGTTTAAACACCACAGTGACTAGTGCCTATTTCAGGCAAGCAAGAATGCCATGTAAGGGGAGGTATCTACCACCTACTGTGTTAATGCCTCTAGTAAGATGCTTATTTGCATACTGTGCAACTCGGGTTGGGAGTGGTGCAAAGAGGTAATCCTGCTTCACTTGCATGCTGCAGTAATCTCTGCTAGAGCAGAACTAGTGCTGGTGGGACTAACTAGGGCATGGTAGTTACCAAGCTGGGCTCTCAGCAGTTTGGGGATGTGGTTGTCTCTGAGTCAGCCATAATTTACAGCTATAGTTCAAAGGCTGAAAGAGTTCCTACTTCTGCATAAACACTCTGTCGTATCCAACTTCTCAAATAGTCAGCTCAGCTACTGCTTGGATGTCATAGTGTGAGTGGCCATGAAGGTGTGGTACAGATGCTGTGCCTTACTTGAATGTGTGGTTCTTAGTAAGGGTCAGTGAAGATAGTAACACACAGTGCGTGGGGCCCTTTTCTTGTTCTGGTGGTACAGGTGGCTATTCAGCCTGAGGGTTTCAAAGCTGGAGGAAGAGCCACCCACGTCCTAGCAGGACTCTGGGACCAGCCAGTGCAGTGCATAGCATGAGAGCTCACTTGATGACAGCACACAACATTTAACTCCAAATTAACAGGATATTCCTGTTTTCAAAAGCTGCTTGTCCTCTTGGAGCTTGTGGCTGTGTTACTGTAGATGAGTCAACAGCGAGGGAACACAAATAGTACTTGAACTGTCATCCAAGTATGAAAATGGGTCAGATAAAAATGGCAAGGCATAGCTCACTGAGCAAGAGGCTAGTGCTGAACAACATCCTACGTGTTGCCACTTATGCCTGGTTGGACTCATATCATTCCAAGCAAAGTTACGTTCAAATGATGTGATGTGGGCTCTCTGGTACAGCAGCTTGTGGAAAAGAAACCTTTAAACCTCTGGATTCCTGGAGAAGTTTGAGTTATTGGTGACTCTGCCTTGTGTGATTTGTAGGATGCTTGAAAAGAAAGTTTCTGTCCTAAAAAGCTTATTAAACACTATGTGTGAGTGACAGACATCAAGCACAGATGGAGGACCATGAAGTAAGCCAGTGGCCTCATTAGAGTGATCATGAATTGGGTGGTGAATCAAGTTAGATCGCCTCGTTTGGAAAATCAAAATTACTATACTGAATAGTCTTAAGGTACTTTTCTGTGTTAGTGTTAAAGCCAGTCATTGAGCTGCTTTGCTCTTGTGACTGCTTTTGTCCAAATGCTGCTGCTGCTTGTATGCCAGAACTGTTTTTTCCTGGCTACTCTAGAGTTGGGTCATCCTAAAGCCTGTTTCGAATGTGGCAAAAAGTGATGGCTCCTTCCACAGAGGTGTAACAAAATGCAGTGTTCAGGGCAGCTTCAGAATCTGGTTGTGTAGGCTTAGGCTAGTCACAAAAGTAGCTCAAATGCCAGGAATATTAACTTCAGCAGCTGCTCAGCTGCTGCGTTATTGTAAAAGCGCAAAAAAGTCAAGGGCGAGAGTGTTCTTTGTAAAGAGCAAAACTGAAGCAATGAAATCAAAACAGATTCAGTGTTGATGACACAACTTCCTCTGAGTTGAATCACCTTCACCTGATGTAGCTGTGGCAACAGAGGAAGAATCGCTCCCAAATACAGAAATGTGAGGAGTAAATTGAAATGGTGAGGTTTTTGATAAAACTTCTTTTGATTTTAGGGCCTTTCAGCTATCTTGATGATGTCCCATTTAAGATAGGAGACAAATTTAAAACCCCTGCGAAGGTTGGACTACCCATTGGTTTCTGCCTGCCTGATTCTTTTCAGCTTGTCAGAGAAGCCCAGGTAAGTGATATTTTTTTGCCTATACGGGTCTTGCACATATGATGCTGCAAATTGCTTTTAACAAGTATGTTGTAGTGGCACATCTTATGCCAGTAGTAGCAGAAGATCTGCTGGAATGTATAGTAAGGTAAAAAATATTTTGCATGGTAAGCCATGTTAAAAAAAAAAAAATCTCTGCTTATCAGTTACAAAAATGCATAATGACATTTATTTTCTTGTATCTACTCCAAAATGAACTATGTTTTTGTGTCTTGGTTAAAGATCTAAATGCTACCCTGATGTTGTTAAAACTAAGCAGTATCTTTTAAGAGGAAGAATTGTCCTCATTCTATGAATGTTTTTGAAGGTAACAGGTATGGCTGTATTTTGTGGGTTCTCAAAGTAATGGCTTGAAGAGATTTCCAGTTCCTGTGCTCTGTGCAGTTCTGAGCAGAAATGCTGCACCAGCCGTGCAGCAAAGAGGTTACAGTTTGGTACAGATTTCTTCCAGGTCTTTTAGGGTCATGACTCATACGTAACCATCTGGTAACAAAGATCTTCAAGAGCAAGATGTGGTCCTGGAAATATAGTTGGACTGCTCAGACACCAAAGAATATTGAAATTAATAGAACCCGGCACATCTGCCAGTGAGCTTTTCAAAATCACTGTGTTTGTAAATTGTGTATCTTCCTTTTTAGAGCCTTAGATCCAAGGGAAGGGAAGACTCTTCAGTGTACAGCTGAGATAACAGTTCTCCAGGTTTTCACTGAAGCCCACTATAGATAGGATATGATGCAACATAGTGAGTCTCAGAAAATCCTAGCAAAGGCATAGCAAGCCTTCCTGGTGTGTTGCTCTTTTGAGCTAGGACCTTGCAGTGCTGTTGCAAGAGTCCTGTTTGGTTATGTGACATCATTCTGGTAAGCAGATCGTAATTTTTCTGAGTCACAGGTAGGTTATACCCTGCACATAGCTCATTGGCTTTGTTCTCTAAATGTTCTCTCATTGTTTAGAGGGCACTGAAGATGTTTGGTCTTATAAGATATTAAAGCTGTAAATATGTTTAGTCTGTTTAGAACTTTGTACTCTGTTTGGCCACTACAGTGGCTCATGCAGTTAATAGTGGTAGCTTATATAAATGTCTCTCTGTGCTAACCCAGCCCTGTAAGAGCTGATGTTAAACGAGGAAAGTTTACAGGATTCAGCCATGCCAGTAATAGTGGCAAAAATGCTGCTGCAGGTTGGTGTCTCATCAAAGTTGCTGGTGTACCGTTTTTGTTGGTGAGCCTACCAGTGCCTCCTCAGCCAATGCGTGTACAGCTGATATCCAACCCTTCAGGTATCTTTTAGTGTGAACTGATTAGTACTGTACTGGTCTTCGGATGCAAAAAATACTCTGCAGTGGTCTTGGATGTAGTTCAGTAGTGCCGGGTCTGGGTGTTACAGTCTGCGCGTGACATCGGTCTGACTAATGCATTACACTACCAATAACTACATCTCCTCTTCTTCCCAAGAGGATGAGAGATCTTGTGATCATCAGTAGCTCTTAAGGAAAACTAAATGTAGGAAGGAGGCAAATTGTGCGATTCTAATCCAGAGTGTAGCAGACCTTGCTGCTGGATGCAAAATTAACTATTTCTGGTGTCTCCTAGTTCTGCCGGTCTGTAAGTTACAAGAGATGCTGCAGAAAAAAGTGACTGTGTTAATTCATGTAGCTCTTGGTCTGTCACTTAAGTTGCTGTTAAGGTAGTGACTGTGATTCTTACATGCTTATGTAAGTTGTATTTATTTTTTTCCCATCTCCTTTCCTCTCAGTATGACTTCTCCCTGGAAAAGAAAACAATTGAGTGGGCTGAAGATATCAAAAAAATTCAAGCTGCCCAGAAAGAAGCTGAACGCAAGGCTGAAGAAGCAATAGCAAACTCAAAAGTTGCTCCAGAGGACAACAGAATGGGGTTCCCAGAGGGGCCTTGCCCCGAGGCCATGCCTCCACCTATTAACCCCATACTCGCTAGTCTGCAGCACAATAGTATTCTTACCCCTACTCCAGCCAACAGCAGTGCTGTGAAGCAAAAAGTTCTTAGTCCACCTCATCCAAAAGCAGATTTCAACCCAGCTGATTTTGAATGTGAAGAAGACCCATTTGACAAACTGGAATTAAAAACTATTGATGATAAGGAGGAATTAAAAAACATTCTTGAAATTCATGTTGGTACTACTGGGCCAGTTGTTGCCCAACTGTTAGATAACAGCTTGCCCAAAGGAAAGTCTGAGTCTGTGTTACAAGATCAGGAAGTTTTGGCATCCATAGAAAGGGCCGCGTTGGACCTCAAGCCCCTTCACAAACCCAATGGCTTTATCACTTTACCGCAACTGGGAAACTGTGAAAAGATGTCCTTGTCTTCCAAAGTGTCCCTGTCCCCTATCACTTCAGTGAGCAGTATCAAATCCCTGTCCTTTCCTAAACTTGACTCCGATGAGAGTGATCAAAAGTCGTCAAAGCTCATGGGCACTTTTCACAGCACTAGTTGTCTCCGCAATGGCACTTTTCTCAGCTCTTTGCAGGCCTGTGCTCAGAATAAAGCTAGCGAACTGAATGGACACCACATGGTTGATCTTTCTGCTGTAAACGAGGACAGTGGAATGGAGACATCTACCTTATCCTCTTCATCCAGACTGCCGTCCCTGGCTTTGTCGACACTGTGTGCAGAAGAACAAAGCGCAGTGACCACGGTAAAATACAGCAGATTAAAATTGTGTGTATGGGGGTGATGCGGAGGTGCAGAGGCAAGTGTTGATTCTAAAACATTCAGCAGCTTAGTTTTTAAGCTTCTTTTAATGTGAGTCGTACGTAGATAGGACAGATCATGTACAGTAGTTCTTCATTAATGTGGGAAGCTCTTCGGTTCAAAGAGTCTTTATGTTGACAGTGTGAATCTCAGACGTACACACAGATTCCTTCACCCCGTTTCCTTCTGACAAAATCTGCTTTAGGTAAACTCATGGAATGTGTTTTCCAAAGAACTTAAGATCTGGACACCAATACCTATGAAGTCTAATGGAAAGTCTGTAGTCAGGTCCTCTAGCTGGCTCTAAAACAGCCTGAGAAATTGGAAGGCTTCTGTCAGATAAGCAGTGCATGAGTGGTTCTGAAGTCTTACTGGCATGCTGTAGGGTTTTTTGTTTTTTTTCCTAACACCATGTGCTCTACAGCAAGTGTCAGTGTTTCAGTTCTTTCATCTCTTTTTCTGGCTCAGGTTAAAGCATTATTGAGAAATACAGTGTTCTGGCAATTAGTGTATTTTTCAGAGCACAGCAGAAGAGGTGTTCATTGATCACAAGAACAAGCATAATGCAGTAAGCTTTGGCAGAAGTAGCAGTGTGCTTAGCAAGTGCTTACTGCTACAAATCAAATTCTGGGAGGAGATTCTGTCACTGTATGTAGCTCAGGTGAATTCTTGAAGCAGGAGGAGTCTCCAGGGATTAATGGGGAAGAGCACTTACAGCTAGATAGATGGGCCTTAAAATAGCCAAATTCTCACTCCAAGTATTTTAATCTTTATGCTGGAATAAATCGTGATCAAGAGCAGAAGTGTATTCTCTGGAATACTATTAAAAGAAGAAACAAAGAGTAAAAAAAAATCAAAAGACTTATTAGGAGGAGGAATACAGATCAGAATTTGAAACTTTGTGTTTGGAAGTAGCAAAACCAAGAAATTGGTGTGTTGACAGAACTAGTTATTTCTTTCTAAGATTGAAGACCCTGAATATACTTGCTTTAAATTTCCTCATTAATAAGGTCTTAGTTGATAGAAAATTACCTGAGTTGCAAGAAATGGAAGTAAATAGAGAAACAAAAATCTCCAGAGTATGAAAAGGAGAGACAAAAGTCAGAATTGTTGGTTGTGTCAGCTGTTGGTTGCGCTGCTTGGCAGACTGGTTCTGCAGAAATGGAACAGTTGTGCGGCCCTGGTGCAGGTTGGATCCCAGGCTAATGTGGAGGTTGAAGAGAACAGACTGGACATGGGTGGCCTCTCTGAACTGATGTAGTACTGAAGATATGTAATTTCTGTGCTGTCCGTCTGGAACTTCCCAAAGTGGACCTATTCCATATTGCTTACTTTTCTGCTGCCAGGTGTCACTTAACATCTCATATTTGTGATGAGTGACAGGAAATAGTCCTATGAGGTGGTTTCCTGTCTCCCCCAAGTTTCTGCCTTTGGGACTGTTAGAATGGGACAAATAGAGCCAAGTGGTGGATGAGTCCTTATGACTGGGCTGAGGTCAGTGCAGGGCTTTTAGAAATAGGTGTGGGAGACACTGGCTTTAGAAACCAGGTGAGAGCTGAAGTAAGTGCTTAGCTCCTTTTCAACCCAGCAGAAGAGGAAGTACCGGGTTTTGCATCAAAGATAAGTATCATTAGCCATTGGGAACAGGACAGTTGGTGAAAGCGTTAAACTGGAATGCCATTTTGTTTGTACGTGACATATAAACTGCAGTGCTTTGAAAGTGGAGAAGATGGGGGGAGGGTGTATGTTTCTCTTAACCCTTGTCAGAGTAAAAAAAAAAAATATATATATATATATATTATATTATATATTATATATATAGATGTTTCTAGGCACAGACCTTAGAACCCATCAGTGTCACTCAGCAAGCCACTGGGTCAAGAACTGAAGAGATGTCAGCATGTTACAGAGCTCTGTGAGCTTGTAGCTGCCACTGTGACGGAAAAAGCAAGCTTACAATTATTGGAGAAGGAGTGCAGCCTTCTTAGAATGTAATCTACTTATAGAGTGCTGAGAGAACAAACAGTCCTTATAATGGCTGCATCCGAAGCAGCGCGGCCAGCGGGGCGAGGGAGGGGATCCTGCCCCTCTGCTCTGCGCTGTGACACCGCACCTGGAGCGCTGCGTCCACAGCTGGAGTGCTCAGCACAGCAGAGACGGGGGCCTGCTGGAGAGCGTCCAGAGGAGGGCCGCACGAATGGTCAGGATGGAGCAGCTCCCTGTGAGGACGGGCTGAGAGCTGGGGCTGTGCAGCCTGGGCAAGAGGAGGCTGAGCGAGACCTGAGGGCGGCCTGTCTGTGTCTAATGGGGGCTGTAAGAAAGACAGGGATAGACTCTTCAGTAGGTCTGCTGTGGGATAGGGGGAAATGGTTTCAAACTAAAAGAGAGAAGATCTAGGTTGGATATAAGGAAGTTTTTTAAAAGGATGGTAAGGCACTGGCACAGACTGCCCAGTGAGGTGGTGGATTCCTCATCCCTGGATGAGGTCGGGCTGGAGGGACTGTGAGCACCTGATGGAGCTGTAGGTGTCCCTGCTTATTGCAGGGGAGTTGGACCTTTAAGGTGACCTTTAAGGATCCCTTGCAACTCAAACAATTCTGTGATTCTGTGGCTATTTCATACTACATATGTCTGCATAACTTGTCTAACCCACATACTTGTCATACCTGGTACGGTAGCCACAGTCCCTGATCTTTTCATGAAACCTTTTTCCCAGTAGTGGCAATATGTAATGTTCATCACCTTATTTGTATGTTGTCCAACAGGTACACCCAGACAAGGAGACAGAAATCCCTATGGTAAGTTCTGACATCCTTTGTGGTATTTATACAAAGCTACTGACGTGGTTCCTTAAGTAATGTTTCTTTGGATACTGAAAATCTTAGGCAGTGAGTAAACTAAGGATAAGGGAAGCAGTCTTCACTTCCTCCAAGGTAAAGGGATTGCCCGTATCATATGGGTCTTTGCAGTTGCAAAGATTAGTTGTTAGAAATTTTTAGTATATAGCAGGAAATCTGGGTAATGAAATGTTTCTTTGAGAGGAAAGTGTGGTGGGAGTTGAACTGTTCACAGTGCTTGTTTTTGTCTTAATGATGAGTAGCTTCTGAAGGGCACTCTGGAAGACTCCAACTGATTTTTTTTTTTTTTTTTTTTGTGGGATATCCTGGTTTGGCACAGAAACGGGGAACTAAGGAAATATAAAAGATGACCATCATCTAAGCTTCTGGGATTTCCTTTCTAGGTAACACACCAAAATTTCCCAGTGTCTAAAGTGCCCAACAACACGACCTGCACAAAGCAGTCGGGTGTTCCTTTTCCGGAGTTACAGCAGGCTCTCTCTGCTAGCGAGAGGCAGTGCGTAGAGACAGTTGTCAACATGGGATATTCACCTGAGAATGTCCTGAAAGCCATGAAGAAGAAGGGGCAAAACATAGACCAGGTAAGAGCTTGCACGGGGAAAAAAGAACCTTCAAGTTTGGATTCTGCTGAGATGCAGCCTTGGCTTTGCAAAATGGAGGAGGTGGGAATGCTTTAACAGTGGTTTTGCAGAACTGCAGAGAACTTGTCACCTTCTCAGAAAAAGTTTCCAAAACCAAAGATGCCTTTCCCTGGAGGTCTGCTCTTGTGGCTTACTGGAGCCAGAAAAGGCTCTCTAAGGCAGTACTGACCAACTTTCTTTGTGTGCTCTGACTGTGGTGCTTCCTGCCTTGTGTTGCCTGAAACACTTGCTAAAACCGGGTCACACACAGAGCATAAAGCTCCGTGGATTGAAGTGTGGCTCTGGGTCTTGGATCGCCTTCAAACAAAGAAACATTTTGAAGCAAGAGGAGTGTGGCTAGACTTTGTGTGCTGGCCCTGTGCTCCCTGTGCATTGTGTGGAACATTACAGAGGAATTCCTCCACCCAAGATAGCTTCTGCTCTGTGTAGGATTTGGCATCTTGTAGATCTGCTTTGCTTGCCCACTGTCTGTGAACTGAGCCGTGTAAGAAGCTGTAGTGCCAAACAGAAGAACGTCCACCTGTAGGGCAGTTTTAAATCCTGCTGTATTTGCATGCTGCTTTCTCTCTTGTTCTTAGTGCTGCCTTTTTCCTGCCTGACTTTCTGCCCCTACCTCTCAAAGCTGAGAATGGGTAAGCACAGTGGCAGCAGTTTCTGGAAGTGTGAGTAGGGATTTGCAGCGTCTTGACATGTTGAGGCATTCTTAAAAAGCTGAATGCTTCCAGGCTTCATTTCAGCTCTTCAGTTTGAGAGGAAACTAAAAGCTGACTTAGGTTGACAGCTGAACCTACAGTATCACTAAAAATATGTGTAGTATAAAAAGCACAGTTAATCTTAAATTCCTGCCCTTGCTCAGTGATTAGGAAATGGAAGATGAAGAACAAAGAAGGACAGAGGACTTGTTTCCTTTTTCTGAACTCTTACGAGTCATCTGAATACAGAGCAGGGACAGTTTTATCTTGTTCCCTGGGATGGAGTCCTGCTCTCTTCCTCTGGATGTACAGAGAGTGCAACCACGTGCTGCGAATGTCACTGTGAAATTAGCTTTTCTTTCCCTCAGGTTTTGGATTACCTGTTTGCACACGGACAGCTTTGTGAAAAGGGCTTTGATCCACTTCTTGTTGAAGCGGCTTTGGAGATGCACCAGTGTTCAGAGGAGAAGGTGAGGGCACGTTGTCCTAAACATTAGTCAGAATGCACTATGAAAGGGAATTCCAACAGTAGTTCCTCTAAAGTGATGAATGTAATTCTAGCTTCATGGTAATGCTGAGCTGCTTTCAGAACTACCTACCAAAGAATATCCAGGTGGTGATGTGTGTTGATGTGTTACAGTTCTTCATTGCTTTATTTACCATTACTTGCATGCATTTTTATGGGAAGATTTTTTTAAAGACACAGGTTATTTTGGTTGCAATGTTTTGAATAAAGTGTCCTCTTTTGGCAAAGTGCTTGGTTCGGAGACAGTTAATTTCGGAAGTAGCAAATTATTTCCAAAACCCTGCCAGCTTGTCCTGGCTATGAGTTTCCTCTGTTGTATAAATGCATCTGCCTGGCTGCTCAGCAAATTGAGCTAGGTATCTGTCTGAAACAAGCTGGAAAGTACAGTTTCTGTGGGCCTGGTTTATGCTGTGTGTGTACTTTAGAGGCACTGAAGTTACAAGGGCAGGAACAGATAGGTAGCCAGGGCAGGGGATGGTGGAATGGCTTTTCAGTGTATGCCAAGCTGTTGTGTGCAGAGCCATTACAGGAAATCTTAAGAGGTGCTGTCTTGTCCCCACAAATGTTCACAGCTACTGATGAGCTTGTAAACAGAAACAGTATGAAGATAAATGACTGTTTATAAGACAGGTTTGCTAGAAGCTTAACCCTCCCACTCCTCACCCTCTGCAAATTGGAAATAACTAGTTTCCTGATTGTTCATTTTAGTGTGTTTTTCCCCTCTGGAGTGGAGGCAATGCAGGTAGCAGAATGTTCATAGGAATTTAAGTTGTTTTGCTACTTGTCACTAGTTTTCAGAGCTCAGTTAGGATTTGTTTGATGTTGGTAGCTTAGCACACTGTGTTAAAAGGACTCTGGTAATATCCCAGTTTTACCCTAGATTTGGAAGAGCCATTTGACAGCAAAGGCTGTTTTATCATTGTGAAGTCAAAATAGCTTGAAAAAATTGCAGTAGCAGTGGGAGTTGCTGGATGAAGAGCAGGGAAACATTGATCTGGGTGTCTGAATTGGGCCAGGCTGATGAATTTGTTTACTAAGAGGCACACTCCCACAGACTAAGCCTTGGTACCTGTGTTGAAGAAGACTCGGAAATTCAGAACTGCAAATGTTGGAAATTGAAAATGAGGCCCAGTGGTTTGCTGCATAGAGAGACAGAGCTCTGCCAGGCTGGATGGAGTGGGTAACTTGGTGTAGTGGGAGTCATCCCTGCCCATAGCTGGGAGTTGGAACTGGGTGGTCCCAGAGGTCTTGTCCAGCCCAAACCACTCTGTGATTCTGTGACCGTCATGGGAGTAGACTTTTCTTCAAATTGAACTTGTAGGGCTGTACTTAGGGAGTGGGACCTGACCCGATGGAGTGTCTGCTTGCTGTTGACTGTCTGTGTGCTAAATTCCAGATCCGACAAAGACTGAGCACTGATCCTCTGTTTTTCTTGCAAATAATTGTCTGTCTCTTTCAGATCACGGAACTTCTCCAACTTATGAGTCAATTTAAAGAAATGGGCTTTGAACTAAAGGACATTAAGGAGGTCTTATTATTACATAACAATGACCAGCAGAATGCTTTGGAAGATCTAATGGCCCGTGCAGAAGCCAGCTGAAGCACATTCCTGAGTTCTTGGCGTGCAATGGAACAGCCCCACCACCTTCACGTTCAGTGTGACTTGCTCTCAGCAAGGAGTCCAGTTTTTTGCGTACATGGGAAAGTGAATGAGCAAGCCTGCCTGCGTGCATCACTCCAGCATTTCTCTTTTCACTGGGAGCCAACTTTCTTTCTTAAATTAAATTTTTGAAGTGTCCTTTCCTAAGTTTCCTTTTTCCAGCTTGGCCACGGAGATTTTAGACTGCCCAGCTGCTCTACTGGAATTGTATATAGTCAGAGACAAGAGTGGTCCTCCTCACTGTTGCACTGGAGTTGGACAGGGGATTACTAAATTTGTTCTGAAACATATAATGCTTTGGTTCTTTGAAGCTGCTTTCTTGGTGTCTGCTTGTACTGAATTACTTGACTGTGTCACAGTCCAGATTATCGGGTTAAATCTGACCGTTAGTGCAATGGAGTTTTATTTTTTGATTGAGAGTTAGTCTGTAACTTAGTGAAACACTGGTTTGGAAACTGTCGCCATGCATAAAGAGAGAAGCTGTTCCTCTTGTTTCTTCTTTAACTCATGCATCCAACACTTCTGCAGACGTAAGTGTCCTATGCTAAGTGGTTATAAGTTCTCTTGAAATATAACCCAGACCTGCAATTTGTGGTGGTTCTTGAACCTGAAGGCAGAGAGCTGGGGCTCAGTATTCTTAATCCCCCTGGCTTGTAAGATATTTAAGAAAATGCTCTGCTAGGAAATCAGTTATCTTTTGTTCTAAATAATATTCAGTGTGATGCAGGAGGTTTCTTTCAAGCACTTTCTTTAAAATAAACATACTTGCTGCATTAGTTCCATTTTTCACACTGCTGTAGAATTACATAATAACACCTAGTACTAGAAATCAGGTAGTCATAGAATCATAAGATAAGAATTGGAAGGGACCTCTGGAGATAGAGTAACTGCTTGCTAAAGCAGGTTCCCTCCAGTAACTTGCATGGGAATATGTCCAGGTGGGTTTTGAAATCTCCAGAGAAGGAGACTCCACCTCTCTGTGCAGCCTATCCCAGTGCTCTGTCATACTCTTAAATAAACCCTTGTGGAATCTATCCAACAACAAAATGTCCATTTCCTCAGAAAAATGTGGAAGCATAGAAAGCATGTTTTGAAGGGGCTTCTCCTGCACTAGCTGTTTAATAAGCAAGGAAAAATTCTATCACTTCTGTTCTTACTCCATTTTCCAGAAGGCAAATCCTTCCAATGAGTATCAGAGTAACTTGCAAGAAGCTGAAGTTCCAGAGATACAAGCATCAGCTCTGCACTTTATCCTGGAGTTCCAGTGCTGCCTCTTATTTCAGTCCAGTCAGATGATGTCAGGAGCACTGCCTCTGCTGCTGGTTTTAACTTCTCTCTTGTTCCTTCTGGAGGACCTGCTGGAAGAGCTAATGTGCATAGTGCTCTTGAGGTGACTGGTTGGTGTTGATGTTGCCAACCATGTTGCTTGCCATAGTTGATGTGAGATTATCTAAAAACAGGAGGATAACACTGAATCATCTGGGACTGGTGAAAAGAAATCCAAACTTATCACATCTGAGGAAATGCTGAATATTGGAATGGCATGGGATAGTCTGTTAACAGCTGAGGAATAACAGTATCAACTCTGACAGATGATGGCTGATGCACAAGAACCCTCTTGGTTGGGCTTCTTGTGTTTCCAGCAAGAGTATGTGCGTCATTTTGGCAGAAGGATCTTCTCAATTTCATCCAAAGAGTTTTTAGTTGTCAAGTGAGTGATACCAACTTTCTCCTTGTTTTCCTCATTGCCCCCCCTCTTGAAACATGGTTTTCTAACAGCACTGGATTTTTCTGTTTTGGTGCACTGTGGACTTCAGATTATCACACCACCTTTTTTAGGCTTCGTGGACTACAAGGAACCATCTTGGAGTTTAATCCTGAACATTCATCAAGGATTTCCACGACGAGCCCATCTACTATTAGGCTCTGATAAGATGCCTTTTTGTTCCAGATGGAATGGATCCAGGTGGGCAGCTTATCGAATCATTCATTTGAAGATGAAGAGTAGCATCAAAACATTGCAGCTGTGTGTGATCAACAGCCTGGCATGGGATTGTCAGTCTCATTTTTCACAGAGGGCACATCAGAGATAATTGTAGACTGGCAGTTTTGCTGTTGGGATCCGTACTTAGTTTTTCTCTATTTAGTGCTCTAGAATGATAAGGGTTCTGGATACCTTTCACTTTTAACCTCTGCAAAAGCATAGCTGTAGTGAGCTGACAAATGAGAAACGAGAAACACAGACATGGAGTAATTCTTTCCAATTTCAGAAGCCCAGGAAATAGAAGTCTATTCTGGCACTGCTGATGACAGCCTAATTGGAGATGTTGTATTCAAGGGGCATCCAGATTCCTTCTGTTTAATTCCGTTTGGTGGTTGTGGAGTGTATTCAGCAATGGAAACAGCTTCTTATTTACTTCAATGCACAAACTGTTAGGGCAGTTATCTTCTTGAGGGCGGTTTGTTTCTGCTTGGCATAGTCTTAGCTGAACTTGGACTTATTAATCTCTTTTGTCCCCCTGGCAAGAAGACCCTGGAAACACAGATTTTTTCTGACCTCCTGAGATGTAAAGGAAAGAGGGGAAAAAACTTATCTTGGAACCTCTGAATACAGCTCTGTACTAAACTTACAGGCTTATTGAGTAGTAGTACATCAAGCACATTCAAAAAAGGCAGGCTTTTCAGCTGGATGTCAGGATGGATGGGTGGGATGGAAGGGGGTGGCTCTGCATCTCAAAGTGAGCGTTAGTGTCTTGCAGGAGCACAAAAGTGCCAAAGGAAAGTGAGATGTGACTAAAGTAGAAGGCAGTATGTGAATCCCAGCAGTATCCTGCCCAGGCTCTATGGGTGAGGGACATCCACATGAAAAACAGCAGGCTTTATAGCTGATAAATCCGGAGGTCCTTTGATTGTCCATGGTACCTACATCTGTAGAGTTCATAGAATCATAAGGATTGGAAGGAACCTCTGGAGGTCATCTGGTCCTGCCCCCTGCTAAAGCAGGTTCCCTAAGTAGATTGCACAGGCAAGTGTTCATATAGGTCTTGAATATCTCCAGAGGAGGAGACACCACAACTTCTCTGGCAGCCCGTTCCAGTGCTCCGTTACCCTCGCAGTAAGAAAGTTCTTTTGCATGTTGGTATGTATGAAACTTCCTGTGTTCCTGTTCAGTCTCATTGCCCCTTTTCCTGTCACTGGGAACCACCAAAAAGAGCCTGCTCCCATCCACTTGACACCTGCTCATAGATATTTATAAGCATTGATCCCCCCCTCAGTCTTCTCCAGGCTGAACAGCCCCAGCTCTCAGCTTTTCTTCATACAGGAGATGCTCCTATCCACAGCCAACCCTGTGGCCCTCCACTGGACTCTCTGGGTAGTTCCCTGTCTTGAACAGGGCACAGTTCTCTAGGTGTGACCTAACCAGGACAGAAAGAAGGAGGATCACCTCCCTCAACCTGCTGGCCACACTTCTTAATGCATCCCAGAATACCATTGGCCTTCTTGGCTACGGGGGCGCACTGCTGGATCATGGCCTACCTGTCATCCACCAGGTCCTTCTCTGCAGAGCTCCTCTCCAGCAGGTCTCCTAGCCTGTACTGATGCAGGTTAGTCCTCACCAGGTGTAGGACCTACTCTCACTCTTGTTGAATCTCATCAGGTTCCTCTCCGCCCAACTCCCAGCCTGTCCAGGTCTCCCTGAATTGCAGCACAGCCTTCAGACATGTCAGCCCCTCCTCCTGGCTTTGTATCATCAGCAGACTTGCTGAGGGTGGACTCCATTCCTTCGTGCAGGCTATTGATGAAGATGTTGAACAGGACTGGAATGAGCACCAGTTCCTGGGGAACATCAGCAGGTCCTGGAGTTTTATTTGAACTGCTGGGCTGCAGCTGCTCTTCAGTAAGTGCAGAGCCCTCATCAGGAGGTCATCTTGGTCTGCTTTTATTATGCCCAACAGAGCCCAACAACTTTTGCAGTTCAGAAATATAGGAACTTTATATAATATTCTGCAGTTCCTTGAAATCTGCAATTTTCTATGCACTGATAGCACCAAGTATTATGCTGTGCATTGTTCAAGTTCTAAATGCGTAAAATATCAACAGTCTTGAGGCATCATTAATTTGCTGATTCTGCAGAAGAATAATTAATAAAACCCTCAGATATGACTCCCAGCATCATGGTTCCCATCGCTCATGCTCTTTGACTTCAGCTGATGAAGAACTTGCTGGATATTACAAGCCCTGGGCCTGCTTTCTCCTCTAGGCATGCATGGATGTGGTCTGCTTTGGGCAGAGCTACCAGAGGTCTCCAGAGAGGTGGATGCAGAGGTAGAAGGTGCTTCTTTTTTCTGTGGCTTATTTTTGTTCTATTTAAAACAAAACAAAACAAAACAAAACAAAAAAAAAAACACAACAAAAACACACACACAAAAACAAAACAAAAAACAAGAAGCTTGGGGATCAAAACTCATGTTAGAACATGGAGCTGGGAGAATTGGACTCTGGGAAGGGAAGACAGCCCAGCTCCTTACCTCAATTCACGTTTTTCAATAGTGAGTTTTTTAGTTCGTCAGGACTCTGAAGGGGATTGCATTGATTTCCATTATTTTATTAAAATACATCCAAAACATCTCATCTGGTGTCAGTGTTAGCTCCTGGAATTCTCCTATGAGGTGCACGACATTAATTACCTTTATTTAAAACAGAATGATGTTAAAATGTAGCTGGCAAGCATCCAGGAGATCTGGGGATAGATGATGAGCAGGACTAGGGCTGGCTTCCAATGGACTGTATGCTGTAACACTGAGCCTCACCTCGCCAGCTTCCAGTGATGGGACTAAGGTCAAAGCTTGTGTAAGAAAGGCATTCCAGCCTGTAGGGCAACAATTAATTTCTGGTTTGGAGCTGGCCCTCTGGGTTCAGGTAAAGCAGGTGCCCAGCTCTGCTTCCCTGATGCAAAATAGGAGTTTGAAACATGAAAATAGGGTTCCTGATAAGTCAGAAAAGCTGGAAAGTAGAAAAAAGAAGTGTTTACCGTTACTGCTATGAGCAGTTTGTTGTGTTGCTTGTTTAGCTTCTCACACCTAATTCTGAACAGGTTCCTGTCTGGCAGTAGACAGTCCTGAACAGGCAAGAACCGTTGCCAGTGAAGAAGCAAAGTATTTAGATCAAACCTCTGAATAAAGTCATCTTTCTGGTTAATGTGTGTTAAGTTCTTTCCACAGTCGCTGGAACCACGCTGTAATAACCTCTTTGCTCAATCCGTGGTAGTGAAAGATGGAAAGTGATACTTATGAAGCCCTTGTTACTTACGAAGTCTCTTGTTATCCAAGAGGAATACCAGTGGGTGTTTTCCCTGCAGCGTTGCTCTTGCATCTGTAGTGAGTTTTCTGGATTTTGCATCATGGGGTGGCTGAAGCTGGGAGTGTGTTCTTGAGGTGGCTGATAGGGAATGAAGCCATGGAGTGGTGGGGATTAACCAAGTGCGGTAGGGGAAAGGTGCTTCTAAAGAAATGGCATAGTGTGATGAGATTTGGTTGTTTTGGGCACCGTGCATCATTAGTTACTCTGGTACTGTTATGAACAAAGCTCGGTGTGGAAGTGTTGGGTTGGGGCTGGGTCTCTGAGATCAGCAGATTGATTCACATGCCTGGTAAATGGCTTTCGGTGTTGTAACTTTGTCAGAGGTTGTTCTGCCTTTTGTGCTAGCTGCTGCTGAATACTGAGATCTGTCTGTCACAATGAGAAGTGTGCAGGCAAAGTCCAAGCTGCAGACTGTGCTTGGAGCCAGAGCCCTAGTGCTGCCTGCCGGCGCCTGGCTGGCGCTGCTGGAGCTGACCGTGCCCCACGAGCTGTCCTTGTGCTGTCGTAGGCGAGTTGGTTCCTGGTTCTGATGTGGGTTTTCTGTGACACCTGGCTGGGCAGCTCTCCTTGCCCTCCGCCAGCTGGGCAGGCAGCTCGCTTCTGCTGAGATGATCTTCTACAATCAAACATTTTTACAGTCATTTGGATCATGTCTACTTTAGAAATTTTACCAGAGTTCTGTAGTAAACTGAATTTTATTTTAAATGATGTAAATTATTCAAATAAAATATCAAGCATCTGCATAGCATTAATAGTCTTTCTTTTACTTGCATACAAAAGTGATTCCGCCTTACTCAGTATTTATTGGATTGTATGCGGTCAGGCTCTCAAAATCTTAGCAAAAAACACACAACCTGCTGTAACAAAAATCATATACATTCTTCAAGTTGAAATGAAAACCATTCATATCAGGTGTCAGTGCAGTATCAAACAGCTGGAGGGGGTGACACTGGCACTGGTAGCACACTCACATGGGTTAAAGCAGCATCCAAGTAATAACCTGAGGGTGGAGAGGAGAACGGTACCATTTTCTGTAACTGCTCCTGTCGTTTCTTTTGCAAACTGCGAGCCCAGTTTTGGTGTCTCACAGGCATGCAGCACTTCAAGCATGGCAGCAGCCCTGTTATTGCTGAAGAGAAGTGAGTTTTTGCAGTTAGGGTTGCTTTTTTAATTTTTAATTTTAGCAGAGTCTCATGTCCAGCAGGGAATATAAACTGTGAATAGACTGCACCTGGTTCAATATAATTGTTAACCTCATGGATTAGCTAGATGGCTTCAGTTTTAAAAAGACTTTTAATTGCTACATATTTTTATAGCATTCCTGGCTGTTTCTGCATTGAACAAGTAGTTCCTGTTCTGAGGACTTATACTGGTGCTCAGATTTGCCAGACTTGCTTGTTTTCCAGAGTAGGCCTGCTGCACAGGTGGCTCAGTTTTAATAACGGAGAAAATGCCACTTTTCTTTCACTTGTGGGAATTTTTCCCACTCCTCTGTCTTGTTACAACCACCTCTGAAAATACTGAGGTTAGGACGTGCCACATCATGCTGTGTGAATGGCTCTTATGTGTCGCGTTATGAATGCCCAGCTTGGCTAAGACTCTGAACATGTTTTTGCTGAGTTGGTCTTTAAAAAGCAGTTCCCTACTGGGTTAAAGTACACTTAATTGATCCTCATGTCCCAGGTGCCAAAGTACATGGAGGGAAAGTTTTCCCCCCTCTACCAGCTAGCATTACATTGCTGCAGGACCTCTCATTTTCTTCTGACCTGTGACACATCCTGCATTCCCACATTCCTCTTCAAACTTATTTGCAAAAGTAAGGCAGCTCTGTGACGGCCTCATTTTGTGTGTTTGCTGAGAACAGTGGGAACTACTGTAATTGCTTGCATCTGTTTTTACTTTCAGAAGGTGTAAGGACTGCCTAGCTGCCTTGTGTTCTCCTTACCTTACGTACAGGGAAGCTAGCCCTGTCTCCAGGAGGACATGAGATACTGAGACTGAAGAATCTTGCTCCTGAATGCCTCATTTCTCTGAGGAAAGAAGGCTTCCTAAAACAGGACTGGGAGACCTCATTTCAGGTGTGATATGCTGGTAGCCTAAGACCTAAGATATGGAACCATCCTGAAGGCCAACATCAACTCAGGCCCTGCAGGGGCTCCATTCTCTGCTCCACACAGCATTCTCACTTGCAAGATGGAGACTCTTCCATGCATACACCATAATCCCAATAGATCAGGGCACTAATGTAAGACCTTCTTCCTCAATTACAGTTGTAATCCTTCCCCTCCACTTCTGCTACCCAGTGCTATGCTGTGTGATGTTCCTGGGAATGCTTGCAGCAAATATGCAATCCAGATAACTGAGTAACTGCTATTGCTGTAGCTGTTGCTCTGCAACTCCCAGGCTCCTCTGGGTAGCTGCAGAAGCAAGCAGCAACATTCACAGCTGGTCAGAGAGCAGTTTTCCTAACCATTGGCATTTATGCACTGAGCAAACTTTGATCTATTACAGGCATAACTGAGGAAACACTGAGGTGGCCAATTATGCTGTGGCAGCCCAAATTTTGCAATGAGAGCGCTTGCACATTCTTGTTTACACTAGCACATTTCAAGGTCAATTGTGGCTTCAGCAAGAGGGGTTGTGTGACTCAACCATGATGCACACGTGGCAGCAGGGATCCTGCAGGGTTCCAACTGTTCGTTTGGTTGTTCTTGACTAAAACATCAGCTTCGTGCCCCAACAGCACTGTTAGCCTCTTAAATCCCACCACCTATAACTGGACTCTTCTGATGTGAAAAATCAACTGTCAACCCAGACCATGCACACTCTGGCTGAGCTGTCACGCAGAGATCAGACAGCATGCAGACAGTAAGCTTTGGATCCTTACTGTTAGCACCAGTGTGAAATTCAAGAGCTTAGTAACATGCTAGATGACCTACAGGATGAAGTCCCATGTACATAAGCCTTCTACTTGACCAATTGTTGGCTCTGACTTAAGTGACTTCTAGAAGTTATGGAGCATTAGTCCCAAGCAAAGAACAAATGCTCAAATAGTCATTCTTCTGAAGGGACCGGTACTTCTTGTCCTGCCTTGATTTTCATTTAATTTTGGACTTGTTCCTTTGGTATCCTTTACCAGTGCCTTCTCTCTGTTTCCTCACTTCTGTTTGCAAGTACTTTTCTGGATAGCTTTTGAACATTTCTACTTGTACCTTGCTTCAAAATGCTGTGTGTTTTTTTCCTTTCTCTCCAATTTTCATGGCCGAATAGAAGTGCCTCTTACACAAGAAGCTCTGAATACTGTGTACAGGACTGCCAGCTGCTTGGTGAGATCTTTACAGGCTGCTGAACGTCACATATAGGAAGGGTGCAGCTCATTGTCGGGTGTTAAAGAAATAGAATCCTTGCGGTAGTCAAGCCAAGTAGTCACCTTTCATTTACTGAGAATTTTCTCCAACCTTATCTAAATTGCACACCAATCACAAACATCAAACTAAAAGCAATCCCCTACCCACGTACACCCTGCAGCACCAGCTGCAGTGAAACACTGGCTGGGTCCAAAACTGTTCTGGTGCTGTTCTTGTGCATACGTAAGAAAGGAAGGTCTAAACCGGTGGAGACGTTTGCAGAGATGTGTCAGGACTAGAAGAATCAGATAAATAGATCTGAAGTTGAGCTCTCATGGTTTGGATACACTTTGACTTCAGTACCAAGATTTCATCTAGCTTAACGATGAAATTCTGAAAATCCTGGGAAAGAAGGCAAAAAGAAAATTAGAGAACAAGAGTAGCAACAGGTTGTAGCATATTTTTGGTATTGTTTTCCATTCTGCAGTGGAATGCATTTAATCAGTTTTTCCTTCTTGATGTCCTGACTCTCGTAAACAGCAGAACTCAATGCCTCTAAATACTGAATAGCAACCTGCCGTACAGTAGGATAAAATGTGATATGAAACTAATTAAAACTGAAATGGATGCAGTTGTTTTTAAGTAGGGCTTGCATTAATAAGGGAGCACTCAGAGCAGAATTTGGTGCCCTTGTTGACTGGTCGGTATGTAAGAAGTTGGGAAGTGTCAGGATCCTCAGGGCTAGGGACTACAGCTACTGCCACACAAAAATTAGTAATTTTCAGCCTTGTTTAGCAGCACCCCAGCTATCAGGTGCACTCTATGTCTTACCCACTATCTTGTCCTCTGTCCTGCAGGGACACTGACACTGTAATGAAGACTAGCCCAGCTGTCCCAGCTTATGTTTCATAAGCACTTTAAACACCATATGGTTCAGTACATGGCTGGTCTTGGCAGGAATCTCTCCTGTGGATGTAAGTTTCATGGCTGGAAAAGTTGCAGCCATCTGTAAATGGAAGGATATAAACTGGTGTGGGAGTCCAAGCTTATTTCATTGCTCAAAGAAAGGTCATGCTGTGAAATATGTCCAGTAGTGTTAAGTTATTCATCTATTGCTGGAAGGCCTGGCAAGACTGTCATAATTCTGCTAGTTAGAAAATGGTGCTTGCTACAAGGGGCAAAGAAATGTCAGACTATGGAGCTGGCTAGTCTCCAACTGCCTGGGATCAACTGGCCCAACAATTACCAAGAAAAATCTCAAAATGCAGCTGTGAGAATGAAAAAAAGGTTGCCTTTTATCACTGCATTTTCTGCCACAAAATTAATGCAGTTAATTGCTCTTGTGCTGCTTTGTAAACTTTCATGTGTTATCTGGGAATGCATCACATGCAGCTGGAAATCACAGCATATAAACCACATGATGGCTCCATTCCAAATTCCCTGAGGGTAAAGTCCCTGTAGCTACACCACAAATCTGAACTGTGAAAGCAATTAAAAGTCATTTTGGTAATGTAATGCAGTAATGGAATTTGGCTTTATTGATAAGACAAAGGATTGGGAAGGGCAGGAAGTTCTCACTGAAAAATGTTAATTACTGAGGTGAGAGAAGAGGCTTGCCACAGTGCTGTGACACACATCTACCAGGAGGCAGGAGAAAGTGAGAATGGGAATTGCACGGCTGGTAGTGCAGGCGTTGGTCCTGAGCTTTAGCCTTTACTAGTGTGATGGTAAGCAGATAAGCCAAAGAACACTTGAGTGACAGAAACTCGTGAAGGCCTAAGACACAGCAGTTATTGACTCACTGAGTTAGCTAGCACTCAGGTTGAGTGGGGTTCGGGGTGGCATATCTGCAGCGTGATAAGCAGGGGGATCTCAGAAGGAAGGCACTGTGGCACCCACTATACCACCAACTGTGGCATCCTATCTCATGTTCTATGGGTGTACTGTTTTCTGCAGAATTTATTTACTTGGTTCAGCCTGTGAGGAGGAAAATCTTGGCCTGGAAAGCTGCCCTGTTTGGTGCAGTCTGGTACCAAGGACACAAAATAAGGTGAAGTTGTCTTATCAGAAAAAAGCAGTTCAGAGTTGGGCCATCAGCTCCCTTCTCCCACAGCAACCAGGCAGTGTGGGAACTAGCAAAGCCATGCTGGGCACTAAAATGGTGCAGGCTCTGTTAGGACTCGGGGAGGCACCAGAGAATGAGGAGAAAATCACAAGACATGTCACTTCATTAATTCAGGTTAACGGTCTTCCGAATCAATTATGCAGGCTCAATGGGCAGTGAAATCTTCATCTAAAACACTTACCGTTCCTGACATCTGATTTATCAAGTGTTCTTCCTTGAAGCACAAGGATGCCATTTCATCCAGCTGCTGCCGATGGGCCTGAATCATAGCCTGTCTGATTAACAGAGAATTATCCTTGGTTACGCAGCCCGCTGCACTACCTTTAATTGCTATTAGGCACCAATAAAGGTCTAAGAAGGAGGGATGCCCCATTGGAAGCCCCTCTGTCCTGTGGTCCCTGGCATTGAGGTATTGCACGCCAGTGCTCCTTGAAGTGGACTGCACTTTTTGGGTAAAGAAGACCTTGATGACCAAGGGTTTGCTCTGGCAGAAGTGACTGCAGACTGCTGGCAGAGCAGCACATACTACTTTTTACCATGCAGAAATGTAGGAGCAAAAACATATATATATCTGCTAAGACTGAGAGCTGGTAAGTCACTTTGGTGAAAATAGGCAGGCACAGTGGGAAGGTAGTGCTGCTATTCCCTCCTCTCAGTAAGTTTCTCTGGCCAGCAATAAATTTTCTGCAACGTGAATGCTGACAGTGGCAGCCCTACATCTAAAGCTTCAGTGACCAGCTAGTTGCTTTTGCTGTTTTTCTTTCCATGGTGATGCAACAGCTATCACCTGCTTTTTAATGGGAGATTTTGATGTATTTTAGGTACTTAATAGCTTACAGAAAGCCAATCCATTACTGAGAATTTCAGCTTATGTTATAGTATTAGTTCTTCCAACATTATCCTACGAAACTCTAATAAAATAATTGGCTTCCTGTGAGATTTTAAAATATCACTAAATAAAAGGCAATTGTATATATTTATATGAGATAATGAGCATAAATTAACATTAATTTTATTAAATAATTATTTCAGTGATTGATTTTCTATCTGTTTTTAAGAAGCATTATATACAAATAAAGGTAAATGTACCACAAGCCTAGAACTTACGTGCTTCATAGTAAACATTAGTGACAAGCAAGACTTACTGTGCCTTTTCTAGGACCTCCTTGTGCAGTTTTCCCACTTCTGATACAGCACTTGGAGAGCCTGTGTTGCTGCTCGATGGGCTGTCTGCATTTGCTAATGGCTTAGTAACTTTGGTTGCAGATCTTGGATCTAGAGCAAAAGTTTCTTGGGTAAAAATAGTCTGCACCGATTTGCTCTTAAGCAACCCTATTTCCTCACTGCTGAATGATGACTTAGCTGAGTCTTCAGAACAAGTCAAGTCCCCATTTCTCAGTCCTGACGTGGGCTGCAAGAGGCCGCATTCCTGAGAGGGGGACTGGACTGCATAATCTGTATTGCCCCCTGTTAGGAAGCACGATGCACCTGAAAAATAGCTCTTCTCAGTTAGCTCAGTGTTTATTTTCTGAGACTTAACATTTGGTCTTTGACTTGAGTCAGATTTTCCTGAACTACCAGTGTTCTCATTGACATCAACATCACACTGTCTGCCATCTGAGTATTCTTTGCACCTTTTGCTATGGAGAAACAAAGCACCCTCTCTCTCTTCCCTGGCTTCTGTGGATTCAGCTGTGGATGTTTCTGTCAGGTCATTTCCAACAACAAAACTGTGAAGAACTCCTTGATTTGATGAACCTGAGGCCTGATGGCAGCAGCACGGCTTCACACCACAGCAGGTGGGTGAGAGCCACCTGTCCCCTGCTTGTGGGGAATGCTGCAGGATGCAGTGTCTCGCACCACGACGTGCTTGCTCCCTCAGTTCCAGCATGCTGTCTGTTAGAGCTCTGTTCCTTGTGCACTGCCAGGTCTCCTCCTCAAACCTTATCTGGGAACTGTGCACTTTCCTGCCCAACATCTGTTTCACATGAGGAGGCTTTACTCGTTTAGAAGAAACATTCTCTGTATCAGTTCCTTCCTCATAGTCAAGAAGAGATGGAACAAGAGGGGCCATTAGCTCAGAACTGAATTCTGAGGAACAACTGGAAGATCTGCAATGGTTAACATCATTCTTTCGACTTTTCCACTTAATATCTCCTGTAACATCCTGTCCATCCAAAGTGGATTCCTCTTTCTCCTGCTGGAGGAGAATCTGTTTGCGTTCTGGAGCTACCAATTTCAATATAGGAGAAACGTATGGGTTTGAAAGACCCTTTTCTGGAGTCGAGGTATCTTCAGTGGAGTAAGACAGACATCTGAGTTTGGATTTGTACTGCTTATGATCTGCTAGGAAGTCTTTGCTTTTATTCCAGTTACAAGCAGGATCGTCTTGTAAGCAGTAAGGTTTCTCTGCAGTGTTGCTCGAAGACAGCCCAACAGCTAAGTCATAGCTCCAGTCAGATGGAGTTTTGCTGCAACCTGCATTCTTAATGGATTCCTCCATCTTTGGTCTGCCCTCACTAGAATCCCAGCTGTCATCTATTTCATTTTCTTGTGTGGGTATTGCATACTTAAAAAATAAGTCTTGTCGCTTTTGGCCTTTTTGCTCTTCCTCAGTTCCTTGTTCTCTTTGATGGAGGAAAAAAGAATGCTGACTGCACTTGTTGCTGTTTCTTCTTTTTACATTCTTTTGACTGCAGACAGGTGAGAAAGAATCTTCACTGAAATCACTGTCATCGAGATCTTCCAGCTGCATCTCCTCTTTGCACTGTGCTTCAGTGGCAGTAGGACTTAGCTCCTGCTTCACTTGAATCTCCTGGGGCTTGTATTGTGTCAAAAACCTCTCAAGAGGTTGGTAGCTCTGTTTTTGCTGCAGAATAGGTGGCTGCTGAAATTGCTGGTGATAGAGGCGTAAATGCTCCTCCCTTTCTTTCTGAAATGGAGGCAGATTTGTCCATGCTTCAACATACTGTTTAGCAAAGGTGTGCCCCCATTCTTGCCTGCTGTCAGAAGGCAGATTTCCATCTCCAAGGGAAAAATCATCTCTAGAAGCAAACTGTTTCTGCACAGGTTGCACAGTCTGGACTTTTAGGCACTGGGCAGGTGCTTTGTCTTGCATGTATCTGTCTCTTTGGAGACCTTCTTTTGTTTCTGCTGTGGCAGCATTTTTGATGATAAAATCCTTTGCAACGTGGCTCTTCTCAGAGCAAGAAGACAGATCATCAGTTTTCTTCTTCAACTGATGTCCTAACCGTAGGACTCCCTTAATTGGACTACTGTGATGGAACCACAGTGAGCCGGAATTTCCTTTGTAGACATGTCCTTTGCTGACTCCCTTGGGTGTAGAGGTCAAAGGGCCACTAAGTGGCTGGAGTGCTGGAGGGCAAATCTTTGTTTTTGTAGCACCTGAAGAATGGTGGAAGCCTAGCTTCACTTTCTTTGGAGAGCTTTTTTCTCCAGGTGGCAAAGAGGGAGAGTTTTGGACTCGTTTTGGAGATACGTTTCCAGCTGTCCGACGTCTGTTTGTGACAGGTGTAGAACATTTAATCCCCTTCTTCAACTCTTTGACCCTGTAAATGAAGTTTGCTTTAGAAGCTGTCATGCTTTTAGATAAATGTCATGAGAACAAACAAATGCTTTCACATATTAAAGCTAAATACTGTCATGATTTCTGTTTTAATTATCGGCGATTGAGGCAGGCATCAAAGCAATACTAATTTTCCTACAAAAATTCCTGAACAGGATAAGCCTGTAGCAGTACTTTGAAGTGCTTCCTTGAATAGTGTGTAAGAGTTGGACTTCAGTCAGCAATCCTAAGTATGTGTACAGACTGGAAGAAGAATCAACTGAAAGCATCCCTGTGGAGAAGGACTTAGGGGTCCTGATGGAGAAAGAGCTGGACATGAGCCAGCTGCATCAAACTAAGGGTGGCAGCAGGAAGAGGGAGAGGGGACTGTTTTACCTCAGCTCTACCACTGTGAGGCCCCATTTGCAGTACTGTATAAGTCTGGGGACCCCAGCACAGGAGGGATGTGGAGCTGCTGGGGAGAGTCCACAGGAATGTCACAAAGGGGATCAGAGGGCTGGAGCATCTCTACTATGAAGACATGATGAAGGATCATGGCGTGTTTAGCTTGAAGAAGGCTCCTCTACACCTCATTTCAACCTTCCAGTACTTAAAGGGAGCTTATAAATGGGATGGAAACAAACTTTTTACATGATCTGATGGTGACAAGACAAGGGGCAATGGCTTTTAACTTAAAGAAGGTAAGTTTCGGTTAGATGTTAGGTGGAAATTCTTTACTCAGAGGGTAGAGAGGCACAGGCTGCCCAGAGAAGATCCTATGTAAGAGTGGAACAGGTAAGGATTTTATTTGCATTGTGAAATTACATTTTCTGTTAAAGTCAGCATTTGCAATGTAACCATAAAAATTACACCTTACTTTTTCCATGGTGTTTTTCATGTTGGCAAGACTGAACTTCATCTCCTACCTGTCAGCATATCGCAAAGTGTTCAGGGTATGCTCTGTAGCTATGTGGCTAGGTGATACATTGGCTATCATGCAGGTCTTGGAATTGCCAATGAAAGAATCCTTTAGGACCTAGGATTAGAAGGAAAAACTAAGTTTAAGATCCTTAGCAATCCATATATTTACATTTAATCTATGCTTGTTCTTATTTACACAAAATACGTAGCAAAGTGATTGACTTCAGCATGGAACTTATGAAAAGTTAGACTAAGTTACCTTGAATTTCCTGTACATCAACAATCTGTGCAGAGGCAGATTAATGACAGGTGGTGCACAGTAACTCTTCCTTTTTTTTTTTTTTTTTTAAATGTAGTTTTCTTGTCTGAATTCATCTTGACATTCTTTGTTTACAATTTAAAATGAATATGAGTGTTAATTAGTGCTTTGAATAAGCCCTTGCATCTTCTGCCTCAAGGTTGCCCATATGCTTCATTCCTCAAAACATATGCCAGAACTGCAGTGAAGAAATGATCAGAATTCCCACTACTGTTATTGCACAGAAGGTCTAAGATTGTTTACAGAGTGGATGGAACTCTCAAAGAACCTGTTTCAGTAGTTACACACAACGTGAATACCTAATTATGACTAGTCCACGGAGCTCTTCCTATAAAAATACCCACAAAACAATGGAGATTCAATCCCAGAATTTGGGATTTAAGGCACTTTTGTGGAAGCTGTGCTTCTGTGTTTGCTGGTTTGTTTGTTTTAAGCCACCATGCCAGTCCCCAGATTGACTGCGGGAGCTGGCAGCTGGCCTCAGACCTGTGATTATCTTTCAAATTATTTTTTGAAAGAGTTATGCATTTCTCTTCAAGGGTTTAATGGCAGTTACTGTTTCTTGATTTTCATTTTGTCCTCACTAGGGAAGTAGCTACTATTGTTACCTTTGCTCCTTTTACCTGAGTTAACTTGCTTTGTCGGAAAGGTGTATGTGCATGCTCCTGATCCAAGGCCCGAATGCATTCCTTTAGCTATCGAGAGAAAACACACACACACACACACAAGTTTAGTTTCTCTATCAAGTAACTAAATTGCATCAAACCTAAGCTATTTACTATTTCCCTCATGCATGCTTAATTCCTACCATGTCCCTCACAGGACCATTGCAGCCACAGCAATGAATGGCCAGCTTTGACTAGTTTGGCTACCAGCAGCCATTCGGTTGCACTCAGGAAGCAAACCTGAAGTACAGAGCCATGTATCTCAGCCTGCCAGCTCTGCCAGTGGGATAAAAAAAGGAAGCCCAAAAAGCTTGGCATATTCATGCATGTTCAACACACAGCTCCAGACCACTACAGACTTGCTGCTGCACCATAGCTAATGAGTTTGCAGAGAGTGTACACCAGACAGCTGCAGCCTGTGTGCCAGGTGAATGCTGGATTCATACACCTGTAACATCCTCAGAACAGAGCTTTTCACGCTCCACCTTTTATTAAGCTTTTTATTCTAAAATAAGCTCTTCCCCTGCTGAAATTAAACAAAATACTGCTTTCACATAACAACAGTGCAAATCTCTTATGCCGCTCTGGCAACATTTAATACTTTCATATTTTAAAAGAGGCACTGTAAGCCAAACAAGGGCATATTCTTCCCCACAGTGATTCTAATCTGCAGTATAGATATTCCCTTCAAGCAAACTGCAAATGTGGGTACAATGGAGTGTGTTAAAAGGCTGACCTCCTTCTTCACTCCAGTGCAAAGCCTCAAACCCAATTAGAATGGAGGACATAAAAAAAAAAAGACAGCAACAAAAAATGAACTGTGGAGGCGAGGAGGCTGCTGAGTTCCAGCCCATGCTCAGAAGGCAGGACAGATGCAGCCCAAGTAAACATTTCACTGCGATCTTTGACAGGCCGATAAGGACTATACACAGAACATTGAGAATGAAGCAATGGACTACCCAAGGACTGGAGATATTTCCTTTCAAGGTTAGAGAGCTTCCATTGAAAACAGCAGGACATGTCAGGTAGCTACACCCAAGCCTTTCACAAAACACAGCACATGTTCTCTGTGTTAGTAACCATCAACAGAGGTGGCTAGTAGTTTTAAAGAAATATGTCTTGATTTGTTATCAGCAGTGGAAAAACATGTCACTTTCAAACAAATGTTTGTACTTTTTTGTCCACCGGAATAAGCCCAGCAGCATCACATGCTGAGCCTGGACATGCCCTCATGCTGTCAGATATGGACTGTATAGCCACAAGACTAGTCATTTATAAGAGCAGATATCAAGGAAAATGAGCAGATGACAGTGTTGTTCTGGTGATACTAGCATGGAGCACCCTTTCTATATTTAAAGGAACAATACTCACTTGAAATGACAAGTATCTCTTGGATTTTCTGCATTTTATGAAAAATGATACCTCCAACAAGTACAAGATCAATTATATTTTATACTGCTTCTCATAATTGCAGCATCTGAGTATCCTCTACTTGAAAACAAATACTCAAACCAGTAGCAAACTTAATATTTCATGTGTTTTAAGGCTAGAAGTTTATGTCAGGATCATGAAGGGCAGAGCTTTGTTTTATAGGCTGAAGCCTTTTATAGTTAATTAAATCACTATTTCTAGGCACCTAGATTGCTTATTTACCCCGCTTCACAAAACAGTAAAAATGTGCACACTCTGATTTTAAAGTTCCTTTTCAGTTTCATGAACCTATGTTAAGCCCCAGCCCTCAGGCATCAGTTCTGCTCAGGTGCTGACCCCTTATGCCATTCAGTTATTCACCAGCAAATAAGGAAGTGTGAAGCTCTAAACACATTCACTTTACATGCTGTCTCCCATTTTAAATGCAGTATTCTACAGTAGTAAAGCCTCTGTGCAAAAAAACCCAATCCTCTCCTCCATTCTGAAAACAGAGCAAGTCACCTATTTGCTGAGTGCTAAGAATGTCTAAATATATGATTATGTGCAGTAACTTTTGTGCTTTTGACTGATGCTCACTGACTGCTTATCATCTTCGTCTCACCTAGCAAAACCTTCAGTCATCAGTGAGCTTTGTTCCTTTGAATTAAAGGAGGTACAAAACCTTCTACACCATCCCTACTTAGAAGTACTTCTGCTTCATCTTAGATGGCAGATTTCTGCTCGTCTCTTTTTGCATAACTGTGTACATTTCTATGAGAAGATGGTTTCCATTACGAATGCCTTTCTTCTTGCTCCTTTTGCCCCATACATGAAATGCTAATTCCTGCACTCTCGAGTGGTTAAGTCCTTTACACTTGTTTTGATAGAGGAGTCTGAGTTCAAGTGGTGAAAACAAGCAGCAAGAACAGATGAGCTTTTATGAAACACATTTGGCATCCCAAGCTAATGCTCTCTGGAAGTAAAGCTGGATAGCATTTCTATACAAAATATGATACAATTAGTATAATACAACTAACATTTTCCATGCTGTGTTTACTTGGCTGGCTGTAAAGATTGATTAAGAAAACTTGATTTTCATCACAAACTCCTTCCTCTGTTAAATTGTCTTTCAGCCATGAGATAAATTAAACTAGAAAAACCTGGTATTCTGGATATTTTTTTCCCTCCAAAGAATCCACATGCATATTATTCCATGGTTCACTTTTATCCAAAAACCCATGCTAATAATTAACTACAAAACATTCCCTAGAAATTAGTAGCTTACTGCTAAAAGACTTTGGTTTATTTCTGCTCCTTCCATTTTTGTTTGTCGATCCGAGTCTCTGGCATCAGCTGCCCTTTCACTGCCAGCCAGATCAATGAATGATATCCTAGAAAAAAGAACAAAGTTGTGTTTATCTTGTAGAGTTGTTTTTTCTATTTTTTTTCTTTTTTTCTTCTTCTTTTTTAAACCAGAGGAAAACAACACATGACATCAGAAAAACAATCAGAAATTACTACCTTTGAATAATGAGAAATACCCATTGGAATAAGCTGAAGTGTCAAAATATGCATAACAGCAGAACAATGTGGGAGCATTCTGGCACTAGTATTAGCATAACAGAAAGTATGACTGCCTGTGGTGAGTTTACTCCACAGTTTATCAGATAAGCCGTTTAAAGTGTAACACAGTCATCTCTGTGGATAGTCACCATGCTTGTAGTTTCCTAAGAACAAAGATAAAGCAACTAAATTTCTTAATTTTTTTCCAGATAAAACAGAAAACTGCCCTATCAAATGGGAATTCAGGGCGATATGAAATTTCCAGTGTAGTAAATAATACATTCAGCTTTCCACACTTCTTTTGGTGAAGGGCCTGGAGCATCTCTGCTATGAAGAAAGGCTGAGTGAACTGGGTCTGTTCAGCCTTGAGAAAAGAAGAATGAGAGGGGACCTGATCCAGGTCTATAAATATCTGAGGTGTGGGGGGCAGAATGGCGAGGCTGGACTCTTTTCAGTGGTGAGTGGAGACAGGATGAGGGAAAAGGAAACTGCAGCATAGGAAGTTCCACACAAATGTGCGCAGGAACTTCTTTACAGTGAGGTGACGGAGCACTGGAACAGGCTGCCCAGGGAGGTGGTGGAGTCTCCTTCTCTGGAGATGTTCCAGACCTGCCTGGATGCCGACCTGTGCGACCTGCTGTAGGGAACCTGCTTTGGCAGGGGGTTGGACTCAATGATCTCTGAAGGTCCCTTCCAACCCCTACAATTCTGTGATTCTGTGCTTTTCCCTTTGCCCAGAGCTCCATTGGCCCTCCTCACACTGCCTAGAGCTGGGTGCCAGCTATTGGACTGACTATTTATCTTTGCCCTTCTTTTTTCTGGAACAGTTCTGAATTCACCTGTGGACGTTACTGGGATCCTCTCCTCACTCCAGTTCCCCTTCACTCTTAGCAACAACAACTGAAAAAAGAATAGCACGTGCCACACCTACAAAAACAGACACACTTCTATTTCTAAACTGCTTTGCCTTTTCCTCTCTTCACTATTTGTGGCACTTCCATTTTGAGTTGTATTTAAAATTAGATCCTGGGAAGAAACTGCTGCACTGTAGTTGCTGGAAGGGTTTGTCAACATGTTTTTTTGACACTCAGCAGTAATGTCGGCTCCTAGACCTCTATCCTCAAATCTGTTTCTTGGGGTTATTTAATCTGGAGAAAAAGATGATTGAGAAGATGCACAGTTGCAATATTCAGGGCTGCTACAAGAGTAAGCAAGCTGCTGTTTTCGTCTGGTACAGATAGCATGAGAGTCATACATTCAAATGTCAGAGAGGTTTAGATGAGGTACTAGGATTCCTCTGACAAAAGGTAAACATTTGTAATCTCCACCTGGGCTGATCAACCTGGGCTCTCTTCGTAGTCAACTACAGGAGAGCAGTCCTTTCTGTCAGATAGATTTGCCCCATCTTTGATGACTATGCAGAATGGGATGAAGTAGGTCCCAGCAATGACTCTTTCTTTCCATTAACTTCAAATGTGATGAGCACACATGTAGATGTGTCCACTGCAAATATCTACCCTCGGGCAGATTAACACCCAAGACAGGAAAAATTTTTAACACCTGAAGATGAGGGGAAGGATTTGATTGCCAAACTTCTTTGCTGGAAGTTTTTACAAACAAGTCTGACAAACCTCTTACGTAGGTGACATACACACTCCCCTTGGAACAAAAAAAGAACTATTAAACTATTAAACTATTCTCTCTGAGTCCTATCTTCTGATTTAATTCATAGCTGCCCAGGAACTTGATGCCTCCTCTTGTCCACCTTCCTGATGGCCCTAATCTCGGCCTCCTCACAAGCTCTTAGCAATCTAATTCTAGCAATCTATTCTAGCCATACCTCCCAAATGTCCTGTTGGCTGTGTCTTTAATTTGGATTTGGATGATAGCATGAGATCGAGAGGAATCCGAGTTGACTCCGGTAGCTCCCGTGCTACGTTCCTTTCCTCCCTTTAAAATCACCTGTGAAAAAAGAGAGATAAAATCCATGCAAATGGTAAATAAAAATAGAATCATAGAATCCCAAGGTTGGAAACGACCTACAAGATCATCTAGTCCAACTGTCTCCTCATCACCATTGCCACCACAAGCACTAAACCATATCATGCAGCACGTCATCCAGACGCCTCTTGAACACTGCAGAATAAAGCCTCCCAGGAAGAGATTTTGCCTTAGCAAAATGAAGGCACATTAGGAGAAATGCTTCATTACAGCCTTGAAATTCCAGTGCAAAGTAGATGTTAATTTAGACTGAATGTCTCCCTGTGTTTATGTCAGAGCTTTGTATATGAATTTGCTTGCAGAGACACTAAGGAGCTTAGAAGTTATACTGCAGATAAGAAGTTGCTGCACTGCACATTCACCCTGATTTGCAAAATATCCAGACTATAAAATTAAAAACAAATCCATGGCAGGAATGAAAGAAAGAAAGATAGATAATCTAGGAGACTAACAGGATTGACTAGTTGCAGTTCTCTTCATTTCACTTTTTCATGTAATAGTGTATTATCAAGAAAATAATACACAAAACACAAAATGCCAAAGACTTTCTTCATCTCCGTAACTAAAAGGATAATGCAACAGCAAGGAATAAAGTTGAAAGGTTAACTGCACTCAATACAGAAAAATAAAAAACAAGGCAAGATAGAACAACATAGGCTCCCTCAAGATATAATTCAGGATAATTCACTTAGCAAACTCTTAAGGACTATTACCAGAAGTCTAGTGCAACAGTACCTTCATAAAACAGTCATTAATTAATTTCTTGCGGAAAGAAAAGAATATTATCTATCTAGATCAGTATTCTTAGTTGACAGATGTGCATTACTCATGCCTTTCAGTGGCCAGTTCTCAACCAGCTGCAGCTTCCAAGAATTATGTTAGTGCTAAGTGCAAATAATTTCTGAACCAAAGCCAACTTCAGTGAACAGTGAATAACTAGGTATGTATTCAAGACCCTTCCCTTATATTTGCTGCAGACTATTCAGAATCTCTGAGTTAAGCTAGTGACATTCACATCTACAAAAAAGCCTGTGGTCAATGTAAAATTAGTTTTTTTGCTGAGATACCTGTGAGAATAGTCGCTTAATAGCACTTTTGTGCATGGAATGTGAGAACACAGAGGAACGTGTTAATCAACCTTATAGCAGATTTACACTCTAATTTACAGAAGCATCAGAAGCAGTGTGTCCCAAAGCTTGAAGTTAATGAGGATAAAGACAGAGTGAAAAGGAACATAAGTGGGAACACCGTGCCCATTTTAATGAGTCAATTACAGTACCAGGTGCCTGCAATGTACAATTCATTTCTGAGAAATGGGTTAAGCTATTCAAATTCAAGCAAAAAAGAAGACAGATTTAACCAGGTGTCTTGCTGCAGGACCGTGCAGAAAATTTGCTAGTGTTCTTGTTTGTCTCAGCCAGTCAAGGAAGGAAGACTGAAATTTTGCTTGTGCTGAATGTCAGCTACCATTTAAAGATCCTAATTTCATACAGCTGTTATCACCCGTCATTACATAGGCATTGTTTAAAATTCTAACTCAGATCTATTGATTTCCAACTTTATATATTTTCTCACACATCTATGTATTTTTTGTACAGAAAAGTTCATAGAAGCCAAAGAAGTCACACTGAGAAAAATACAGATCCATCTTTCAGGGTTCCTTACCGGAACATCATTCAATTTCTGGAATGGTGACAGTAGTCTGTTTCTTGGAAGAGATCTTTTCATAAGGAGTGGCAGCAGAAATGACAGCTGTAGATAACAGCTTGTGTGTCTCTAATACAAGTGCTGCTTACTGAAGGAAAATGTCTTCTCTGAGAAAGTGGTCAGGCACTGGAATGGGCTGCCCAGGGAGGTGGTGGAGTCACCATCCCTGGAGGTGTTCAAGAAACATTTCAATGTTGTACTGAGGGACGTGGTTTAGTGGGAAATATTGGTGTTAGGTGGACAGCTGGATTAGATGATCTTTGAGGTCTTTTCCAACCTTAATTATTCTATGATTCTAAGATGCTTAGAATCATAATTCAATTAACTCCTCAGTGTTCTGCATGAGGTTGCCAATTTTACAACCTATATCAACAAGCATACATGCGTACAACAGATAAAACAACAGTCTTTATGTATATATATATGTATACAGTCTTTATGTATATATAATAATAGTCTTTATGTACACAACTTATCTTACAAATCTGTACATCAGGCCCTAGGAGACAGAATAAATATTGAGGTTACCTCCAACAGTAGGTCTACAGAATCCACCTGGACCTCCCGCAGCCCAACTATTTGAACAACATGCTTGCTATCTTCTCTTGCAAAAAGCCTGAAAACAAAACATCACAGAAATGAGATTTCTCAAATAGCAGCAATAAAAACACATTTTACTGCTATGACACTATGTGAAAAAGCCATAGATGCTAGTGATTAGGGGAAGGGGACCTTCTCTCCCCGTCTGACGCACAGATCAGTCATGCTCTGTTCAAGTTTCCAGTATTTTTCCACAGGAATTAAAAGCAGATCCCATAGCAGTAGAGTCAGAGTCCAGTGCAGCTTTGCTATGAATTACACAGAAATGTCGCAGTATAGAGAAAGAATACCAGCATGATGCTCATGGGAGGAAGGTTAATCTCCCCCCTCAATGTTATGTAAGATCTTACTTAATCTGACTCTATGGCTCTGAAAGCTGCTTTATAATCCTTTGTAAAACTCTTGAGAAGTTGAACAGATTCACCTCCAGAGGCAGAAAATCTTTCTCTTGTGCCCTTGTCCGAACAAGACTGGGGCTGAGGTCTTACTACTGAGAGTGATGGCAGCATCACCTTCAGAGGTGCAGTTTAGTTCAGATGCCAAGCTACTGGGTAAATGAGTTCTGGGAGGAGGCAAGCAGACTTTGCCGTTTCAGAGCATATACTGGACATCAACAGGATCTCCAGAGACTGCAGCGGTAAGAGCAGCAGCCCCACTGGCACAACAGTAGGGAATGAGTGAGTTTATGTTTGAGCAGAGACAGATAGCAATTCCACAACAGTTGGCATGAGAACTTCTGGTCACAAGAAGGCTCTTCCTCTTACCTCTGAATGTTCAGCTACCTACAGATTACTGTAGCATAAGCAAAACAGCATGAAATTGTATGTCACTCACAGGCCCTTATTCTTATGAATTTATTCCTGTCAAAAGAGTTCAGCCGGGGGTCCTGTCAATGTCAGTCACATTTAGTTTCAAGTTCTGCCTTCCTCCCCAGCTATGTCCTAGAAACAACTCTTAAGAAATATGTAGCATTTATTATAAAAGGTAGTTTTTTAAAGTTAATTGCATGGAATAGTAACAGATTGATTTATAAACGCTTCCAGGTTTATAGCAATCTCTCTTTTATTTCCGTACCTCTTCCTTCCGTTTAGCAGGTCATAAAGCTGTCCACAGTAGATCTCATAAAAACTGATCATAACAAGGTGATCCTTCCTTGATGGTGATGCTTCCAGGTGTCTGAAGATGTCCTTGGCAGCCAAGGCATAGAGTCCTGGGTTCCGCTGAGTACCTATCATTGTGAACGTCTTGCCAGCACCCGTCTGCCCATATGCAAAGCAGGTTGCATTGCCTCTGTAAAGATAACTTATGTTTTTAGTGCCACGTCTTACTTATTATTAAAAGAAATTCTGGAGTGTCAGAATCTACATATACAGCTAACTTTTGGCAGTGAAGCCTGGTTTTCTTCCCCATCTGAGGAACTGCAGAACACTTCACAGTTATTCCCAGTCATGTCTTAAGGAAAGCTGATGTGCCAAGGTTGCTGTGTCTCTTTTTTCGAGATTCTCAAAATACATTCAATGAAGCTAAGAATTCAGTATCGTTCCTCAGCTGGCTAGGTACCATGATAGCACTGTAGAATTATCAGTGGGAAGATTTCCTTATGAATCTCAGAAAAAAGACTGTGACATGAGGTGCAAAACAGCCACAAGACAGGATTTGTGTTAACAGATACTGCACCTAATGAAGATGAGCAGTTCAGCAATGCAATTTACCAAGTGAGGTTAGTTTGCCTCAGGTTGCAGTTCTAATGCAGGTAAGTCAATCTAATGTCTTGTTGTTGCTGAGGGGAGGGTGCTGATCTTCCCTTCCTCTGCTCCCAGCTGTGTGACCTGTCTCACTGACCTATTCTCCTGTGTGCTGGCTCCAATGTCTGACTTTACTGCAACGAAACACCAGAAAGCTCTTCATTTTTTCTGCAGGCTAATTTTCTGCTGTTTCAGTGGAGTAAAGTACCTCACAGAAAATCACAAAATAGGTGAAAGTGGCTTCACGTAATCTATGGGCATGTGTCCAGTAGAACACGATGGAAGAGGACCACCAACTTTCAGTGGCAGAGAGAATTTTATACACTCACTCCAGCCAGTGTAACCAAAATCTTAGTTTATTTCAGATTGCTGCATCTTTGTTGTCGTATCACCTTAATGCATGTGAAACACCAAGCAGGTCTCAGGATACGGCTCTGCAGTGCTTCAAGTCCATCTAAATTGGGATTACTGCATGCCTATTTCCTCATCCCTGCACTTGTACAAGCACTGAACTCACAAGTATGAAATGAACAAACAGAGAGCTGAATCAGCCAAAAAGCAAACAAACAAAAAAATCTACATAACAACTGACTTACTTCTCTCCCATGCTTTGAAAGAAAGTTTTTCAGCACATTCAAAACCTCCTGGATGCACAGAAGTGGGGAAAAATGTAGGACTGTAAAGGGCTCAGTGAATAATTTTTCCCAAGATTAGTTTGCTGAATTAGCTTACTAGAGAGTCAGATGAGGCACCCCTTTTCCTGGTGTCACTAGATTAGCTGTATTGTGCATTGTGTTTTTAGTGATTGATTGCCATCACACAGCAAGATATAAACCCTATTTTCCCTTTTTTACTTCTCTTTCTCAAGAATGCGACACTGTTTCTACTGACGATAGTTAGAGATTTCCAGAGCCAGAATGCTCCATTTTGTTATGTAATCCTTTCCTTCAAAGATTCAAAAATGTAATTATATTCAAGTTTGTTACTTTGCAAGAAAAGAAGATCACCCATGAATTTCCCAATCAGGGAGTATGTAATTGCCTAAAAAAAATCTCAATAAAAACAAAATAAATTACAAGGTAATTAATAATTTCTATTCTATTATCCATAAAATCAAAATAAATTGCAAAGTTATTAATATATTTCTATTGCCCTGTAAAACGTACTGATACATACAAAAATATCCCACAGCAGTCTTATGAAAGAGTCACAGAGAAGCACAGAATTGTAGGGCATAGAAGGACCTCTAGAGATCCTTCAACCTTACTCTCTGCTAAAGCAGGTTCCCTACAAAGGTCACAGAGGAAAGCACACAGGTGAGTTTTGAATATCTCCAGGGAAGGAGACTTCCACAACCTCTCTGGGCAGCCTGTTTCAGTGCACAAAAACCAGCCCAGCCCATCCATGTTATCCTGCCCATCAGATATTTGTAAGCATTGATGAATTCCCCCCTCAGTCTTCCCCAGGCTGAACAGCCCCAGGTCTCTCAGCCATACCTCGGATGGGAGATGCTCCAGTACCACAGCCATCTCTGTGGCCCTCCACAGGACTCTCTGCAGTAGTTGCCTGTCTTTCTTGAAATGGGGAGCCCAGAACTCCAGAATTCCCACAGTGCTCCAGATGTGGCCTCACCAGAGCAGAGTAGAAGAGGATCAACTCCCTCGACCTGCTGGCCATGCTCTTTTTAATGCATCCCAGAATACCACTGGCCTTCTTGGCCACGTGGGTACACTGCTGGCTCATGGTCCACCTGTTGGCCTACAGGACACTCAGTTCCCTGCCACAGCTCATTTTCAGCAGGCCAGCCGCTAACCCCAATTAATGCATGCAAAGAGGCTGTATTACTCCTCATCAGATTGAGAAAGATGAGGCCCTACACAGTTTGCAGCATACCATATGGTCACAATTACAAAGACATTCTAAAAGGGGAAGGGTATGTAGGAAAGGTTAGATGAATGCAATTTTAAAAATATGCAAACAGTAGAAGGAAAATGAAAGCGGTATATGAAACTTGAAAACATAAAGGTGGAAAAACAACAAATGAAAGCACAGATGCCCTACCCGCTAAAAATATGCTGAATCAGAGGATGAGCTGTCTTCATATACACATCTTGATTGGTACATGACTCCCCAAAGACTTCATCAAAGTAAAAAACATGCTGAAAAATAAATATGATCTTTACATGAAAATGAACATGTTTCATTCCCCTTCACCCACATGCAAAGGCAAATTTAAATAACAAAAGTTTTCCCGGTGACTTCATGTGGCTTTATATCATGTGGCTTTGCCACATGCAAAGTGAGGTAGGACATTTAACATGGAGCATGACACATGTAGAACATCACAACTAATTAAAAGACTAGGGGTAGGAAAGGAAAAACAGAACATGCAGTAGTCTTCTGTCAGAAGAAAGAAAAGCAAATGAAAAACCAAAATTAAAAATTAAAGGAAACCCTGATTGATTCCTGAAATGAATAAAATCTACTGGTACACAGCAAAACGAGAACATTAAAAAGAACTCAAAAATCGGTCCCCAGAAGCTATTCCAAAGTAAATCTGGAGCATATTATCTTAGAGGAAGGCAAGAAAAGCCCAACTTCCCATGCTCCAGGTCTGACCCAAAGAAGAGTCTTTAGAAAGACTGCAACTGTGCTCACTGTGGGATTCTCTGAGGCTAAGAATGATGTTTGCAAGGACAGCCACAAAGACTGCACTGTCAAGAAAGACTCCATGAACTTGAGTTTGACACTGCAGTCTAATGATACACTGCAATGTAAATTAAGGTAGTAGGTATTTTGGTCTCACAATCTTTTCCATGATGCACAAACCAGCCAGACTAGCAGATGAGCAGATTAAACCAGGAAGTTTCTGCAGCAGCACTCAGTTCACAGTAAGCTCTGTGATGGGGCTTTAGTTTGGCTTCCCTTACTGCAGAGCTGGAGTATGCCCCACTTCTGCATACTCTGGTCTGCACTCCTTGGTTTCCTATCCACAAGGTGATAGCAATATAATTAGAATTGAAGCTAATGAATCAAATACAATGAGAGAGAGGATGTCCAAAAGGTGGACAGCCAGAGATGAAGGTAGGGTGAGAAGCCAGATTTGGAAGATTTGGAAGCAGGGAAGTTCTCCTGTGTCCTATAGAACAGAATAGCCTTTGCAATAGCATATTTTAGTTTAGACTATACTTATCTATGGCAAAATTTCACACGTTAGTACTGACAGAACAAAATTAATCTGTGGTTATTTCAGCGCTGAGTAGTAAGCACTGAATAAATGTCAAATACAGCCAGTCAGATTGAGGGAGTGGGATGGAATCGCTGCATGTATTGTGCCACAAAAGTTGGTACATGGATCTGAGAGAGCTGAAAACTGATTTTTGCTCTGGACAGTTGTTCACAGGACCCAAGTTGTAAAATAACACCCAGTGGAGTGAGTATGGCTTACTGCTCTCTAGAAATCAGCTCTGTTCCTGGTGCTGTCAGTCAAAAGTGAGAATCTGAACCACGACAGCACAAGGTACTTGGGATTTAGAAACAAAGACCAAAGGAGAAATAAATTTTTAAAAGTATTTGAGAACAAAGGGACTGAGGGGATGAGGGTATGTGTGATTCATTGAATCAGAACTGCAGTGCTGAAATAGCAAAAAGGGAACTCATTCAAGTACCCCGGAGCAGACTCAGCAGCAGGCAATTCTCTTGCAGCAACAGCTTGCAGCAGTGTTTTATTTTGCCACATGCAAAGAAAGCTGCAAGAGACATACTTTTAAAGGCTTAAAATTCTGGGCTCAGATTTTCTGCCACAGGCTGGCATAAATCAGAAGCAATTCAAATATAGCAACACTGAACAGACAGAAAAGCCTACCGTCTATTCCAATGCAAGAAATGCAGACAGCCCTTTTCTGTTTCCCTACTGAAATTCCAAGTCCAGTCTACTTTAACCCATCATGCAAATAAGTGGCCCATAAATGCAAAGTGCAAGCAGAGCAAGTTACCTGTAAAATATATTGGGTGAGATCAACTGCCTCCTTCTTCTCATGAAGAAGTAAGGTCTCTTTATCTTTCACTGTGATGATATTAACCTCTCCACGTCTCTCCTCTCTTTGGCCCAGAGGACGTTTTCGGACACACACTCGGATTTTTTCACTCTCTGTCCACGGAGTCTCTTTATCAGAAGTACTGGATCTACAACAATATTGTAGGTTTGGATTTTGAAATCAGACAACTACAAAACCTAAAACATGCAAAAATTTAAGTTGTTCTGTGTATCAGATAGAAGCTTATGTCTTTAAATGTTTATCAGGAAGGTCTCTCATTGTTTTGCGGTGGCATTCCTGCTGGTTTTTTTTTTTTGTTTTTTTTTTGCATTTCTGTTTAAAAACTGTTGTGCTTACACAGCTGCGTTCCTGAGCTTGTTGCTGGACTGGCATATTTTCAATTGCCCACAAACCTTGATTCAAGTTGGCATAACATACAAGTTAACTTAATGAAATTTAATTTTGCTGAAATTATTTGCAGTCATGCACAATCATTTAATTACAGATAAAGTATGATCAGATCTTGGAAGAAAACAGCACAGTATTTAGTTGCTTTTCCTCATAATTACTTTTGCTCCTTTTGTTTTAGCTGTCAAACAGGTTACAAGCATATGACATGAATTAGGAAACGAGACAGTATCATCAAGCTCTTACTAAGCTAAAGACAGTTTGAAACATCAATCTCTTCATTATTTCCCTTTTGGTCTTACATCGTTTTCTTTTTTTTTTTTAATCATAAAAAATATGCAGTTTCAAACCATGGGCAAAGTTATGCTCTTGTGTTTTGACAAGTCCATTTTAGGTCCCTTTGAGACACCTTAGGACCATGAAATCATTCAGTGTTTCACTGATTCATCTGCTGCTGAAATCATTTTGCAGTGCAGCATATGGAATATGCCTGAATTCAACCAAAATGTAGTCAACCTGACTTACACTTTTTCAAGGCATCTTCAGACAAGTGAGTAATGATTTTCAGCCTGGACCTGAACATCTGCTTACTAGAAAAATACCATTTCAACTGAAGGTCAAGTTGCTCAAAACATTTTTGCCATGCTACCCAAATGCCTTTCCAAAGTCTCTTAATGTAACTCAAAACTAATATATATTAGCCGCCTATTAAAATAAAACAAAAAACACAGCAAGAGTGCAAGTTACTCAATATCTCATTGCAGCTACAAGCTTGTAATATCATCATTCCTGTTGCCTTGCACAATTTCCAAGAAGCATGTAACTCATAAATGTAAATCTTAAGATATGGTCTTCAAAGACTATTCACGAACAATCCTTATTGTGACTGGAATCCCATTAATTGTAGTACAGCTCTCCTATGCAGACCAGGATCAAGCCTTGTATTTAGATGGAAAGTTCTCTCCCCTGAAAAGAAAGGCCATGACCACTTGAAATAAAATGCTTCAAAATTAAGTGTGAGTTTATGGATATCCCTGGGCAACATACGTTGTCCACCAAATGATCAGAGGCTCTGAAGTTTGATCAACCAAATGATCAGAGGCTGAATTTGGTGACCTAAAGAAAGAGCCTTTCTTCTTCCTAAGGGCTCGAAAGGGAAAGGACTGATAGATTTGGAGAATGGTAACCATGAGAGTTCGAAGGGTCTGTTTTTAAGAGTATAAGCATAGACTCCTTCTATGAGGCATTATTTAATTGAGTGCATTTTGTATGGGAACAGAACACAATTTTATATGCTGGACCTCAAGTTCAGATTTTCTATTAACCTTTCTTAAATAGAAATTGCATTTTACAACTTTAAAAAAATCATTACAAGAAAAAGAATCTCAAAAAGATCATTAGAAACCTGATTAAACAATAGTTCAAAAGAACAACTGTGTCCTCTTTGCTACAGTCAAGATCAAGCCTGCCACTAGGCAATGGAAAATTCAGTTAAGCATATTGTAAGAGCTCTTTATCTTTCTGGCATTCAAAATCATTCTGACATTTTTTTTACAGATGAGACTAGATTAGCCTTCACAGTGGTTAAATCATAAGGTGACACGGGAATTGATTCAGTGAAGGAGCTGGGCACTTGTAAAGCAGGAGTCAGATACCGAAGAACCAGCAGACTGGCCCCAGACCTGGAATGCAGAATATGCACTCTGATCAAGGCAGGAGAAAGAAACTCAGGCATGTCAAGGAAGATACAGAAAGCCCACAAGATGAGCTTCAACTACTCGTCAGAGAAGAATGTGCTTAAGAAAAAAAGAAAAAGAGAAGAAAGACAACTGAGATCATAGCTGTTTCATGGGATTGAAAATCTTGGACTTCTTTAGCTGAACCATCAGAACTTACATTTTTATCTTGTCTTCCCAGCACTCTGAATCCTGCCCTCTCTGCTGCTCTGTGCTCAGCTTCCAGAGAAGACAGAGAAAACACTGAGATGGCTGATACATTTAGGAGGTTAGCACACACCTCTGGAAGGTGGAATGGAAGGAATTCCTTCCTTCCAGTTAAGAGGAAGGAACTTTTCTTACTACCTTACTGCTTATCCTCTGTGGAAACAGCACCTATCTATTCCAGCTGTGTGCCCATTCCAGAGAAGCTGTAACCAACACCCTGTCTACGTATCTTATCCGTTGCCTTAGCTTTTGCAGACCAAGCTTCAGCCTCACACAGCTACCTCTCACCTTCCTAATATATGCAAATCTTTACAGGTGTAAAGAACTCCATGCTCCCACTCCCACCTTCTTTTTATTGCACTTCCACAAGCCAGACCCATAACTCCAAGCTCTTGCACACTGCATCACTCAGCATGAGTTCGTCAGCACATGTTCTGTACACACTGGATGCAATAATCATCTCTGTATCAGTGACTACTTGTTACTGGATAGACATCCTTTTTGCAGAAGCTCATGAACTACTACTTGTATGTGTCCCAAATCTGGGAACTTCTGCACAAAGTTATCGTTTCAAAGCACTGTAATAATCCTGGCAATTTCTTCATCGCTACAGAAAAAGCCTGCCACAGCTACACTGCTACAAACCATATTCTGGCAGCACATCTGTAGGGAGGTACATTCCCTGTTTGCCAAACCAGGATCTTCAAAAGGCTGCAGAAACAGCCAGTGCCTGGATCCCAGCCAGGTTGCAAGCAGAAGCCTGATGGTGCTCTGAATAGCACACATAGTATGTCTCTGGGCTTCTAAATAACCAAACCTGGGAGACATCTACCAAGTTTGAATGTTTTAAACTATTGTGATGGCTTATTCAGGCTTTTTTAGATTCCAGTTTTTGACTCGGGCAGTCAGTTTAGACTGTTCCTGAGAGTAAGCCAACAAAAGCTATTTTGCTCTTTAAATATGTTTCCAGGATAATTCACCAAGGGTTCAAGATAGCTGTAGCCTCTGTTAGCAAACACTGGGAAATGTATGAATGCTCCAGATCAACTTTCAAGGAGCAGCTGCAAGGCATGCCTCTCAGCAGCATGTCTGTATTGTGCTCCAATTATATTCATTGTTTCTTTTTAAAGTTCCAATTCAGAAACTTATTTATAAACAATTATAGCTATCACAGCATGCATCATTTATACTGGGAAAAACTGGACAAACTTACTAAGAGGAAACATATTGTTTTGGAAAAACAGAGTTTTGCAAAATATTTCCTGTGGGGGAAAAAAAAAGAAGACTTGTCAAAACACCAAGAGAAAAAAAACTTAAAACTTACATCCTGAAGGATAATGAAGATTATTCTTAGACAGGCTTGGTGAGTAGCAGCTGGTGAATTCAACTGATTCCTTCTAACAGACTCGGAGACTCTTAAGTGCTTATTAATATCCCTCTTTTCTATTATTTTATATTTCTCTGTACAAATTCTATAGCGTTAGTATTGCTTGTTTGGAAGTCAGGAAGACAAACTCTGCTCCCTAGTGAGGAATTAATTAATTGCTTGAAATAATTTAAAACAAAGATAACTGATCATTACCTGACATAGGAATGAGGTAGTCCATAATTATACCCTGAAATATGAGTTACTCTCTGTATGATGGGAGTTTCAGAATCCCCCAGGAGAGGAACAATATCATCAGAAACTGCTGCACAGTTCAGTTCCGTTTTTGTATTTACATCTCTTACAGTTAATCTGGCCAGGTCTGAATCATGTGGTTGAATGTGTCCGAGCATGTCCACGAGACTGTCCTTCTCTTCCTTGGCAATGAAATCAGATGAACCATACGACTCTGATTGTGACTCTTTAACTGTGCCGTTGTTCTCCTCGAGGAGGGACTCAAAACGCAGCTGTCTGCGGGGACCTGGTCTGGTCACCTGCGGTTGAATGAAAAGGCCACTTGGTTGAAAATCCTGCTTGCTTAAGTCTCTTACAGCTTCCTCTTCTTGCATAATTTTGATTATTCTAATGAGCTGAAAGAGTCGTTTGCGATCATTCATGTCGTGGACCCCCAGTTTGGTATAATCTTTCATGGAAATCTTGGCAAGCTCATCAATCTTCTGCAGACCATAGGCAGCAAAATGAGGATAATATTTTTCAAGCTCTGCCTCACAAAGGCATTCATAAAGGCAAGATGACATCTTCAAGATCAAGCCTACAAGAAATCAAACAAGACTAATACTCCAGACAAATGAAACATCTTGGCAAAGACATTAATGAAGAAACAAAACATTTCTGCATATAACATTACCTCGTTAGGCTAAAAGATCGTTCTGCTCCTACTCACAATATTTTGGTCTGCCAAACACTATGGAATATAGCAGTACTAAAAGTAAATATGAAACAAATATTTTACTTCTGAAAATGTATTTTAAAATTATACCAATATACAATAATGGGTAGGAAATGCACAATGCAGTGTTACTGCTGCAAAGTTCCTACACGCCTGATGCCTACTCGGTGAATGCCAGAGCTACTGAAACCCTGCCCTCAAGCTACAGAATGTAAAATGCCTAATTTTAGATGCTCAATTTAATATCAGCGCATGTGGTGTAATGTAGTTCAGCTATCACTGGGTAAGTAACCAAAGGAGAAAAAACTGCATTTGTCCTCACCTCAAGTTGATAAATGAAGACTTACTGGTTAACTACTGTGAAGTTACAGTTTTGTTATGTAACTTTATTTTGAAAGTCATGAATCTTGTGAGCATTTCTGAGCATTCTGCACAAAATAGGCAAAATATTATGTGAAATCTGAAACACAGAATTTCTCTAAATCTATAACTGTTCTGGAATGCCATAGCTGCATTCTTGGAAAACCCAAAAAAGCAACAGGCATCACTGAAAGGTATGCCAAAAAACCCTCAGCTCTCTAGCAATACATTGTGCAGCTGTCTGTATCCAGACAGATATTTGCAAATATTTTTATTTATTGCATAAAAAGGGAAAAGAATAGCACTTCCACTATCTGTTGCTTGCTGCTTTCTTACTCTTTTGTTGAGTCTAAGATCTTAGCGCATGCAAGTCTTTCTGACATTTGGAAGTTACAGTAATATTCAACAAAACCAAGCTGTCTTAGATTAAGTCTTTTTCTCTGCAACTGAGAAGCAACAAGCTTCAAGACAAAACAATCATGTGGAGGTGGACTTATTTAATACACATGCTATGTGACTCTGAATCTTGAAGTGAAGCCAGAGTCACTGTCCAGATTATTAGATTCTGGCAGGGGAAAATTAAAACTGACAGAGAGGACAGCAAGCCTAAAGATCGTAGATTCTAACTATGACACATACAAAGGTTTTTACAGACACTCACAATTGTCCACATTCTCTACTAGATAAAATTACCACAGAAGTTTCAGACTTTGTTTCAAGAGGAGTCATACCTTTGAAAAGCTCCTATCTCACATAAGTTAGTTCCAAATACAAGAGCTGCAACAGCACTACCATGGGGAAACCTCTTCTCTTTCCTGAAATGCGCAGCTATAACACAAAAGTCAGACAACAGCCTGTTAAAGATGAAAACAACCCAGCAGCTTTGTCTATTCTCATTTTTGTATTCTAGATTTTACTTAAAACTTTGTATGTCCTTAGGTTTAGGTTAAATATAAACAGAGCAGCCAAAAACTAATGTAAGAAATAGATCTGTGTTAACCTCTATTTAAATGACAGTTTTGAAGGGGAAAAAAG